ATATCTCCCGAGGCGAGGTCAGGAGGGGAGATGGAGCTGTACACCTCACCCCATACTTGCATGGTGTAACCGCAGCCCACCAATAGATGATTTAATCAACTCTTCCTCTTTGTAGCATAGTACGCACCTGTTGGCCAGCTCCAATCCTTGTCTCTTCAGATTGTCCATAGTGAGAATTCTTTTATGCCAAACTAACCAAATGAAACCACAAATCTTAGTGGGGATAATGCTCTTCCAGATCGAAGCATACTGAAAGTTCTCCACCCCAGGAAACCTCTCTGCCACCTGCCAACTATAACAAGAACTAACCGAGAACAACAAATCTGTATCCCGGTTCCATATCATCCTGCAAGGGCTATTACGGATTCTGAAGGAATTAGCATTAATCTCACCAAAGAAAGTAAGTCTCTCAATTTCTGCCCCACCCCGAAGATTTACAGAGAAAGGAACATGCCACACACTCAACTCACCTGAGACGGACACAGAGTCAAAGATGCTAGCATTTGGGAAGGTTGCAACAGCAGCACGCGAGAAAGACTCCGCCAGCGACTTCCCAGGGATCCAGTTGTCGTGCCAAAGAGTGATCGTTGTACCCGGACCAGGATCCACACTCGCCCTTTTCCAAAAAAGAAAATGTACCTTGCATATGTTGGCCTAGATAGAGTTGTTAAACCCTTCGTCAAGCCTCCTGGTTTTCGACTTCGAAGTTAGATTGTGATATTTCCAGTTTATGAGCTGCCTCCACCAACTATTTCCTTCAGTAGCAAACTTCCAGAGCCACTTGCTTAAGAGGGCGTTGTTGAAACATTCTAAATCAACCGCACCAAGTCCACCCTTCTTCTTTGAGGCTTTGCAAAGATCCCATCCGACCAAGTGTCTTTTGTTCTCCCCACTAGTCCCACTCCACAGAAATCTTCATTGTATTTTTTTCAAAATTGTTCAAACAGTCTTAGGCACCTTCAATAAAGAGAAGTGATAGACCGACAGACTGTTAAGAGTGGCGCAATTAAGGGTCAGACGAGCTCCGAAGAACAAGAGCTTGCTTTTCCACCCCTGAAGGCAATCTTGATATTTTCTCATTACCGGATTCCAAATGGAAATCGCATTTAGACGATCCCCCAATGGAAGACCGAGATACTTAGCTGGCTCGCTACTCGAATTACATCCGAAGATTGAAGCAAAAAAACCAGGCTCATGAACATCCCCGATTGTGAACATAATGGACTTATCAAGATTGATTTTGAGACCCGTTACCACCTGGAAGCACAATAGCGTGGCGAGGATGTTTAGAACTTGATCAGCAGATGCTTCGCAGAAGATGAGAGAGTCATCAGCGAACAAGAGGTGGGTAATCTCGCCGACTCCCCTGCTCTCATCCATCGCGAATCCCAGCAGCCCATCCACATTCCGTAGCTTCTTCAACATAAAGGAGAGGATGTCCATAATCAGGACAAACAGCCTGGGAGAAAGTGGATCGCCTTGGCGAACCCCCTTACTCGCTCTAAAGTAACCGTGCGCTTCACTATTGACCAGTATAGATGTCATCGGGGAACACAAATCCCCTTTGATCCATTGTTGCCATTTAGCCGGAAAACCCAATTTCTCCATCACTTTGAAGAGAGATTCCCAACTAACATTATCAAAAGCTTTTTCGATATCTAATTTGAACATTAAGCCTGCCTTTCTGCTCTTCTTTCTGCTGTCCACCAACTCATTAGCGATAAGAGTCGCCTCTGAAATATGTCTTCCGCGAACAAAGGCATGCTGGTTGGGAGAAACCAGCTTAGGCAGGACAATGCTCAGACGTCTCATCAACACCTTACTTACCAATTTGTTGAAGCTGTTAATCAAGCAGATTGGTCGGAGATCCTTCGTTCTTTCAACAACGTCGACCTTTGGGGATAGATAGATAAACGCATGAGTGATGCTACCCGGAAAATAACCCATTGATAGGGAAAAAGCGTAATGCCTCAATCCTATCTCGTAGTAAAACAGGAAAGTCCAGGTATCGTCTCTCAGGGACTGGTACAACCTTATGATTTATCAATTCTGTGGAGCAAGCTATAGGTAAAAATGGTTTGGTTGATGAAATTATTATCTAATAGCAAAATAATTAAACAAAACAAGCAAATTAAAGTTGTCGGGTTGAAATCAATGGGAGAAGGCTCTAGGAGAAACACCGGGACTCACTACCTATCATATCAAAATTAATTCACATATTCCAATCAGTTTAATCCATATCTCTATAGCCAGGATATCTCTATTGTGCTAGCTATCCCTCTCGGGAATTACTACTACTAAATAATCAATTCAAATCCTACTATCGTAGCTCAATGAATTAATTATTTAGCTTGAAGACCGATATCCCAATCAAGACCACATAGCATCTTATTTAATCCACTGTCGCTTCGATAAGTTACTATGTCACATGAAACAGGTTCAGTTAATAGGGTTTCACTGTCGCTAATAACCTAATTAACTACAAATCAATGTATTGGTGGACAGTCAACACAAAGCATTAAGCAATTCCATGCAATAGAGATTGGAAGAAAAGAACTATGAATCAATTCATCAATTCTAGAAATAGCTACATCCTATGGTGTTTCCCCCAGAAATTGGGGTTTAGTTCATAACGAAATTAAAAGATATAGTCATGTTCATAATAATCATGTCACGAAACAAAACAAAAGGAAAAGAATATTGAGCTGCTTCTCATTCTCCCCAAAGAATTCTCGCGTCCCATGTCGCCAACAAGCTGCTGCCGTCTCACCATCCTTTTCTCCCTTTAGATTAATTCCTCCCCCCTCCCTTAATTCCACGTAGGGATGGAAAACGGTGCGGTTGCGGTTAACATAACGCGGTTAACGGTGAATTGCGGTTTCTGGTTGTAAAAACCGCAACAACCGAAATAGTATACGAAACCGCGGTTAAGCAAACTAACCGCGAACTAACCGCAAAAATACATGAAAAAAAAACACAGCAGCTACTGTTTTGTCTATTTTCACTTCCATCATGCCCCTGCATCTGTAAGACAGGAAGAGGAGCTCGACGACGAGAGCAGATCGAGCCGTCGAGCGAACAGAGGAGCAGGTCGAGGGACGAGGCGTCGACGTCGAACGAAACAGAGGAACAGCGGCGCAGCCTTGAGGAAGCCGGGAACGGCGGACGGCCAGGGACGGCGGTGGGCGGATGGCAGCGGCGCAGCGGGAAGATGGGAAGAATCGAAGGGTTTTCAGTTGCTGGCTTGGCTTAGGGTTTTCAGAATCAGACGAAAGTGTGGGAAGATGGGAATGGTCGAAGGGAAATGGATTTTCGACTTTCGTTTTGTCAAATCAAAATGACGGCAAAAGGAAGAAGTGGGGGAGGGGCCGGGTTGGATTTGGGCTGCTGGGTTGGGGGTCTACTTTAGGCTGGGCTGGGGGGTCAACTTTGGGCTGGGCTGGGGGTCAACTATGGGCTGGAGCTGGGTCGCGATTAGCCTTGCGGTTATATGGATTTTCGGTTTCGGTTGCGGTTAAACCGCAAAACAACCCATATCTCCAATAGCGACCGCAAAATAGGCAAAATATGCGGCTTGCGGTTAATCAATAACCGCGCAGTTTCGGTGCGGTTATCGATTTAACCGAAACCACAACCGTTTTTCCAACCCTAATTCCACGGGCCGGTCCCCAATATCAATCACCAAAGCCCTCCCCAATTAATCCCTTCATTCGTTATTTACCCCAGTCCAAGTAATCCCCCTCGCTACAAGACAAGGAAGATGGGCCTTTTAAATCCCCAAAGCCTTCCATATAATCTCCAAAGCTTACGTGCTCACCTCCCAAAAGTCCGGTCCAATTAATTGGTTGAATTACATATACCTCTCCGATCCTTTTGACTCCGCCCAAGTCGATTAATGAAACCCACCAAAGCTTTCCGTACCATCATCGGGACTTCATTCCCACTAGTCCTTCTTTAGCGGGACCGGTTAGCGTGACTACCCCCTAAAGGGGTCTGATTTTCGACACCCAGTGTCTTTACCGTCCATTTTAACTAGTCTTAATTTAATGGTACGAAGAAGGCGGGTTATAATTTGCAATTAATCAGTAATTAATTACATCGAAAAAGGGGAAGAAGTAACAGTTGGTTCCCCCCACATATAATTTTAAATTCATTCCCTCCTACCTTTTTTTATTTCACCGTTTCAGTTTCCTTCTCCATCTCTTCACCGCCCGCCCGCAACTCTTCACCGCCGACTCGTCTAATCACCCATCCCTCCCGTTGGAAGTCGTCCGTCTTCCATCCCGTCTTCAGTCAGAAGTCGGCCCATCCCTCCCATCCCTCCTTCACGTCGAACCCGCTTGATCGATCCCCGTCGACGATAGTCTACTTGCAATAGAGCCTATATAAGCCGATAGGGGGCGCCGATGTGATTTTGCGCTTCAATTCATCCTAAAGTGAGCCAAGTATATTTGAATGAACACAATTGACGTCCCGAAAGTTGTAGTTTTTTTTTGCGCAGTGGTAGTTCATGTTGTGGTAGATCTATCACTATAGTGATATATCTATCAATATAGTGGTTTTTTTTATCACGGTGGAGTGGTACATGTACCAGTGGAGTGGTACATGTACCAGTCGTCTAACGATCGTAGTTTCTAATGGCACACAACTTCTGACTGCAGGTGTGACTGTCGGGGAGGATGGGAAAACCATGGATGGTACCATGGTAGTATCAGATGGGAAAGCAGTCCAGAAAACACCATTGTCTTCTAAACCGATGTCTGTGGTGTTTGACGCGTCAGCAAGTATTTTAAAGACGCTGAATCGTGTTAAAGCTGATATTCTTGCCGGAGAAGCAGGGGAGGCTAGTGATTGGGTTGATGATTTTGTGGAGCATCCACATAGGACTTATAACCTACGAGATAAAAAACCACCGGGAAAGTTTCTACTTTCGCCGTATTGCCAAATGAATCGCAAGAATAATTTGATCTTTGTTTACATTTCGGAAAATTTTTGAAACCCAATTTGAAACACCATTATTGGTCCTATGAATGGGAATTGCCTATTATGTTGTCTTATTTAATATTTTTGTTATTTGAAACCAATTATATACGCGTATCAGTACTGTGGTACATCACAACAGGTATCAGTTTAGTGGTAGGTCGGAACATGTGGCAGTGTAGTGGTAGATTAGAATGTGTATCTCTCTCTTAAACCATAATTACGTGTCAGAGAATAAAAAATTCATGGAACAAACTTAAAATTCGGCACTGGTACATCTATCATTCTACTGGTAGATCTATCACTCCACTGGTAGGTGTACCACTCCATTTGTACATGTACCACTCTACTGTGATAAAAAAATAATCCAGAATATAACCAATATAAGTTACCTTGAATTTATCTCTCTCAACGACTCCAACGGGATCGACATTCGCAACGACGATATCAGGCGCTTGCTCCACGAGGGTCGGATCGTCCAGATCATGAGGATGTTGATCAGAGTCGTAGCTGGACTGTCCAAGTTTTAAGAGATCGTCGTCGTTGCTGGTATACTCTACGTTGAGGTCAAATCCAAGGGAACGTTTGCCGGCAGACTTGTGTACACTGGGACCTCCGCCATCCAACTGGACGATGTCATCATCCGTCTTTGCAACTGATGGATCCCGCCGGCCGTGTAGTGATGAAGCAGACCTATCGTTCCCCACGGCAATGGAAAGAAATAGCAGAGGAGGGAGGGGGGAAATAGAAAAACACGGGAATGGGGAGGAATGGGAGTAGAAACGCCACAATCTCCATCCAGCTAAATTGCCCCTTCCCATGCATAATTAATATGACAGTTAAGCCTTTTTTTATATATATTTGGGACAGCCATTAGTACTTGCCTAATAATTAAGTGTAAAACAGACAAATCAAAAGGAGGGTGTCAAAAAACAGACCCCTTTAGGGGTTAGCATAGTATCCGACCCCCTTCCTTAGCCTGATTTGTTTTGCATTTGACATCTGTTTGTGCATTCTTTATTCCTTACTTTTTCACCTAAAATATACCACAACACTAACACATGGAGTTAATGGTCTGACAACCATTCCATAGTTAATTTGCCTCAAAACAAGCATTATATGTCTCAAACATATCATGAAATAATCACATTAGGTACATTAAATCAATATGTTTTTCCGATAATTATCACTACCCCACACTCAATATTTGTTTGTCCTAAACAACGACTCAGACAAGATAACAATAATTGGAGGAAATACAACACATACCAGGGAGTCACAACCTTGCTCAAAACACAAGACCCATGACGCACAGAACATAACATTAACACCAAATATTTATCCTTGTACTCATGTGATAATCAGTATCTTCTTTTTCAACGGATGAGTTGTGTTTTAATGATCATACCATTCACCCCCCACTCAAGTTCTTGCAACCCTTTACCATTGACTGACTCAAATCCACCAAAAACTCAATTCGCAACACTCAATTCTGATCGTCAGTAGTGAGTGATTAACAACTTATGGTGAAATAGTTATTAGGAGAATTTAACCACGTCAGTGAGGTGCATATCTCGTGAGGACAATCTGGCTTACTCACACCAATCATAAGCAATTAACAAAGCATGAGTCTCAAAAACAAATGGGGGAAGCTTTTAGCAAACTTGGTTTTTTACTTTAAGCACATCACTACCTTTCTGACAAGGAGAGGCTTCTCTCTTTCTGATTTTGCTTGCCGAGTGGTCGTATTTAGTACAAGTGAGATTTGTTTCTTACTACCGGTGACAGAGCAAGAGCAATTTATGCTTCTTAGCACTCACATAAGGGCTTCTTTCAACTCCTTTTCCTCGGTCCGTGTGGAGGGTCACTGCACATCCTCAAACGGCACTTCACTCAAAGGGGGATCGTACTTGATAAGCAACATCATACGGTCGCGAACTGATGCTCAGTTGAACCTTTCCTCGCCCCCTGTGCAATGAGTGATTGCCTCACACGATTTTGGCATATTTACCCACACTTAAATTGTTGTGGCAACTTTCTTATATTTTACTTGTCAGGTAGGATTTTTCTTATTTTATAAAGATACAAATCACCCCATCTAAAACATTCAAAACAGAGAGACTCATTGCAAATCAAAAGCTCACAACATATGCAAGTAAGCATGGTATCCAAACATGTCGAATGGTCAATGTTCTCCACCTAACCACTTCACCAAAAGTCATTACACTATCCTCACAAAATAGAATTAGGGATGGCAATGGGTCGGGTCGGGGCCGGATAGTACATATCCGTTACCCTACCCAATGTAGTTCGGGTTTTACCCATACCCATACCCACACGAGAAACGGGTAGAAAATCAAAACCATGCCCATACTCGTTCGGGTTTCGGGTATCCACGGTTATCCATGGGTAATAATTTATCCTTATAATTCCAACCAATATGTTAACATTCACACGTATATTCACATTACGTAAGAGGAAAAGTACGACAATAATTCACTAGGATGACAAAAATTAATTAAAACAACATAATTTCATGAAAATATTATATTTATATGCTAAATATAAAATATTCTAGGGAAAAATAATGATTATTTCTAGACAAAATACATATGCATGTGTATAATCGGGCGGGTTCGGCTTGGATAGTGAGATAACCATGCCCACCCATTACCCGCAATATTCGGGTTCGGGTTTTACCCGTACCCACGAAAAATGCTTCGGGTTCGGGTTTTACCCTACCCGATTAGGTCGGATTCGGGTGGATATCCCCGGTTACGGATATTTTTGCCATCCCTAAATAGAATGTTGCTAATGGAGTTTGCTAATTCAAAGCATATCAAGTCAGTCAAAACATTAAGCTCATTATGAAGAACTTTGCAATTCAACACTAGTGGGGGTGATTTTGATGATTTCATCATGCACAAACTCATTTCACACGCATCACAGTCATTTACATCATGTTGGCACAAGAGTACAAGGTTTTTTTTTTAATTTTTTCTGATTTTTAGTGTTTTTTTAGCCATTAGGTTAGCACAAGCTGACTGCACCTGCACAGGCAGACTGCATGCAAGTTTGGCTGTGCACAACCTAATGACATTTTTTTTGTTTTGTTTTTTGTTTTGTTTACCACATGCAACAGGGACAAACAACACTAAGACTCACCACCCCACACTCAGGATGGAACACTGTCCCTAATGTTCAACTTCTAATCTAAACATGCATGGGTTTGACACAACTAAAAAGAAAAATAAAGAAAAGAAAACTCACCTTGGGTTGCCTCCCAAGAAGCGCTTGTTTAACGTCCTCAACCCGACGTTCATAGAGCTTTCAACCAATGGGTATGGAAAGGTATCCAGAATACCTTCCCGAGCAATGATAGAACGCATAACCTCCATCCAACATATGAGTCACCTCTGCAGGGCCAGGTGTGCGAAAATTTGGTATGATCTTCTTAGTTGGCATGTTGGATCCTTTAGTGAGGCGTAGGTGGTATTGCAGCGCCTCAAGCAAGTACTCTTCATGTTCCAATGTCAGCGAAGAAGGAATAATAACAGGAAGATTGAAATCCTTACCCTAATATCTATACTTGAGGTGCCCTGGCAATGATTTCTGCCCTTGCTTTGATTTCAGAATCAGAGCAGATAGGATATGTGATAGTTCTTCGGGTGGTCCACTATCACAGGAAGAGGAATTTTTCCTTTCTCGAGCTCCACTTTCAAAGTCATCAAATGCATCGTGTTATGATCAACTTGAAAGACATTAAAAGTTTCCTCCTACTTACCTACTCTGAATGGCAGTTTGCCTCTCCCAACATCGATGAGTGCATCTCCAGTTGCTAGAAAAGGTATCCCAAGAATGAGAGGCACTCTCCGATCTTTTTCCATCTCCAAAATGACAAAATCTGTTGGGAGAATAAAGTTTCCAACCTTCACCAATACATTCTCCACCACTCCTTTTGGAATTTTCACTCATCGATCAGCCAATTGGAGAGTGATCCGAGTAGGCTTAAGATCATCTTATACCTGAAATTTCACTATCACATATCCTATCTGCTCAGATTCTGAAATCAAAGCAAGGGCAGAAATCCTTGGATCCTTTCGATCCCGGGTTTCTGCATTCAAAGTACGAACCAAGAGGGACGAAAAGTGGAAGAGCTCATTAACCAGGATGAGAGATCATGGTGTGTTTCAGGGATGGAGGGAGTGGTTTCAAATGAGATAAAAATGCAATGGGAAAGATTCCTATAGGATCCCGGGATATGGATGATTTCTGGGCTTGGAGATTCACGAATAATGGGGCATTCTCTATAAGCTCGGCGTTCCATGCTTTTCATAATCATATCCGGTTTGGAAGCTCAGGATTGTGAGATCCCTGAAGTATCTGCCATCAACTGCTGTAACTTCAGGTATATGGTGATTACGAAGATTATGGCTACAAGATTCCAGGTTTGGCTGCCTAGTCTGATTTATGAGATGCAATCAGCTTTCACAGGGGGAAGGCAAATACATGATAATATTGTGATCGTTCATGAGGTGCTGAATCATTTTAAAAAGCTCAAAATTGGGAAGAAAAGGGATATGATGATTAAGCTGGATATGAAGAAAGCATATGACCTGGTGGAGTGGAAATGCCTCCTAAGCCTATTAAAGGCTTACGGGTTTGGTGAGAAATGGTGCTCATGGATCAAAGAATGCATCTCAACTGTAAGATTCAAGATTCTTGTTAACGGATCACCAACTGAAGGGTTTACTCCATCTAGGGGCATCAGACAAGGAGACCCACTGTCACCTCTGCTGTTCATTCTTATGACAAATGCGCTCTCCTTTCTGGTGGAGAAATCTATTGAGCTAAAACACTTAAAAGGATTGAAGTTGAATCAGAATTGTCCGAGACTCACGAATTGCCTCTTTGCGGATGACACTGTTTTCTTTGTAGAGGCATCGCTGAGGGAAGCTGCCAACCTGATGAAAGTGATCAGGGATTATGGAGCTTTTACAGGACAGGAGATTAACACGAACAAATCCCCAGTCTTCTTCAGCTTCAATGTGAATGATGAGGAGCGTTAGTCCATTAGAGGTTTGCTGGGGTTTGAAGAGGATTTCACTCATGATAAGTACCTTGGGATCCTGATGGCTTGGGGACGTTCAAGAAAGGAAATGTTCCAATTTCTGATCGAGAAAATGGAAAAGAAGGGGGAAGGATGGCAGAGTCTCTTACTTTCACCCAGGGGAAAAGAGGTCTTACTCAAAGTGATGTTTCAGGCGATCCCCTCTTATCTGATGACAGTTTTCCTTTTCCCAAAGACTTCTACAAACATGATGGATGGAATGATTAGAAGATTTTTTTGGTCGGGGTCGACGAGTTAAAAAACCATCCATTGGAGGGCGAGCAATGTGCTTTACGCCCCTAAGGAGGAAGGGGACTTGGGTTTCAGTCCTTTCGCGGTTGTTAATCTTGCTCTCCTCACGAAACAAGCTTGGAGGATGATTGAGTCCCTAGATGCTCTTTGGGTTAAACTACTGAAAGATCTGTATTTCCCAAGGGGGAATTTTTTGAAGGCAAAGAAGGGAAGCAAAGCATCATGGATTTGGGGAAGCCTTTAGGAAGCAGGCCAATGGTTAAGGTGATTGGAGACGGAAAAGATACTGACATTTTAACCGATTCTTGGATCCCTTCAATCCCGGGCTTCTGCATTCAAAGTACGAACCAAGAGGGACGAAAAGTGGAAGAGCTCATTATCCAGGATGAGAGATCATGGTGTGTTTTAGGGATGGAGGGAGTGGTTTAAAATGAGATAAAAAAAATGCAATGGGAAAGATTCCTATAGGATCCCGAGATATGAATGATTTCTGGGCTTGAAGATTCACGAATAATGGGGCATTCTTTGTAAGCCCGACATTCCATGCTTTTCATAATCATATCCGGTTTGGAAGCCCAGGATCTTCAGGGATCTCACAAGCTGAGAAAGATAAGTGAATATGTCTCTGGAGTTTATCTCTCCCACCAAAGATCACCTTCTTTATTTGGAAGGCTTTGAGAGATGTCCTTGCGACCAAGAATAACCTGTTCGCCAGACATTGTGCATGATCAAAGGCCTGTCCGCTGTGTGATCATGAGGAGGAGTCCATCTTTCATGTCATGTTTGAATGCCCTCATGCAAAGGAAACATGGAGACGGTTTGCCCCTTTTCTTCCCCTCCCTCCACCATCTGTCAAAGTTAACTACTGGTTGTGGGATGTTGGAGAAGCGTCTCCACGGAAAGGATCTCAAACGGCTATCTTTCTCCTCTGGCATATCTGGAAAGCACGCAATGAGATGATATTCAGAAGCCACTCTCCTTGGCCCCCACATACCATCTCTCATGCTATGAACGATTATCTTTTTTGGAAGAACTTCCCAAGGAAATGAAATGATAGCCCTGCTTTGTCTAGTCGACCTACTCCACTTCCTCCTCACCCCCACCACCGCCAAGAATTCCTTACGGGAAAATTCACTGTGATGGATCGTTCTTCAACGATTCCCGGGAGGCGGCATATGGGATTGTTGTCACTAATTCCCATGGTGAGGTGTGCGAAGGAAAGGCCGACTCCCTCCTCTGCGATTCTACTTTGGAAGCGGAAGCAATAGCAATTCATGAAGGATGTTTGTTTGCGCTGACTAACCCCTCCCCATTCGTGATCAAATATGATTGCAAGGTGATGGTGGATGCGATTGCTGGACCAAAGCATAGATGGCCATGGATGGTGGCAACGCGGATTGACAGAATTCGGTCCGCACTCTGTAGCCTTCATGATGTTGGGGTTGAGTTCGTTAGGAGTGAGCAGAATGCATTGGCAGACTAGGTTGCTTGATCACGGGCAAAGAACCAGCTTCCACTGGATTGGGTTTCTGTCTTCAATCTACAAAACACTATAAGGCAATGACAATATACAAGGTTTGCCACGTAAGCCTATGCTGAAACCACCGCACAATGCGGAGGGTTTTTACCGTAATGTCCTATTCCTTCTCTTTCAATCCTTCTCTCTTCCAATCTTCCACCGGAAATCAAACTCCTCTCTCTCGCCATTCCAACACATTCCGTCTTCTAATCCCTGCCGGAATTGAGGACATCTCTCTTGCTGTCTCTCTTCCAACCGATCCACACTCCAATTCCTAGACCTTTAAACTCTCAGAGAGGTTTAAACTGACTTTGCTCACCACAACTCCGACCATCCTTGCCGCCACTCTCAATATCATCTCCAAATCCCCCACCGCCGCCCTCTCCAGACTTCTTCTATCCTCTCATTCGTTGTTATTGTTTCCCAAGCCCTGGAAAATTCCAACTCATCTAGCTCTTGCAATCTGTCTCGCATCACAGGGGCGACAAGTCGCTCCCATCCCTCACAGAAGAAATTCCCTTGAATCCTTGCCTCCACACTGAATCACAATGAGAGATCTCCATTGTCGCCCTCTATATACTTTGTCGATCCTCTGATTCGTTGTTTTTGCTGCCATTTGTGTCTGGCTCTCAAGCCCCCGGAAAAATTTCCCAACTCCTCTCGGCTCGCGGTCTGTCTCGCATCGTTGGGGCTGCAAGTCGCTGCCCTCCGCCCTCTCAAAAGAAATTTTCTCCCCCCCCCTCTCTCTCTCTTACTCTCGCTGTATGCTTTGCATCGCAGGGTCGACAATTCTCTGTATGTTTCTGTTCGACTTTAGAAGGCTTATTTCATGAGGTAAAATCATGAGAAACCTGACGAACCTTGCTCTTTGTGGTCAATTGTAAACTTTTTGTTTGTGGTAAGGTCAATTGTGATTTTAGGTTGTAAAGATTTTGCTTTATGTTAAGGTCAACAGAGAACTGATTAGTTTGTCCAAACCCAATTTCCATGGTAAAGATATTAATAGGTGCTCTAAGTATGAGAATTCTTGCTATTAGCTTAATTGCAATACTATCATGCCTCCATCTCTTTGCTTATCCTTGCTATTAAGTCATTTTACAGTAGTTTATTTGATGAAATTGAAAACCCATAGTAACATCTCCACTCCTTAGGTGATTATGTAATTCTTGAACCTTTCTTAGCTTCTCAATCGTTTTCTTTTGGCCTTTTTACTCTATCTCCATTTTTTACTTCTAATTACTAACATCAATAATCTAAAACCACTCATTCACTAATGAAAGCAACAATGGTAACTCACCACAAGAAAATGAAAATTTTCACAATGATAACTACTTTAAAAAAATTGCCTACTCTTTCCTTCTCTTATTTGACATGCTCAAGAAAAGCTCCCTATACAATGGAGTATGTAAGGCCTGTATGCTCTCCAAATCATCTATAATTTTCACACTCTTAATTATACCGTCAGCATCATTGTATTGAACTTTTAAAGACTATGGGATGTTTGTGAACGGTTTGGTTTTTACAATATTTGAACTTTTAGATTGTACGTAATTTTCTTTATTATTTTCCAAAGACAATCGTTATTTGAAGATGAACATAGCGGCCATTTGTGTGAGTTTATCACTGCAACAAGTTCATTATCTATGTTTTTCTTGGCAGAATGTGGTATTTGTGTCACTTTTGGACAGAAGCATATTTTATTTGTGTGTTTGTGGCAACATGAACTTCAAATTTTTACTATTAAGATGCCTCAACCTGAAGGCTCATTCTTTGCCAGAGGTTATTAAGTATTGTCATTGCTTTTGCTTCATATTTTTATGTTCCCTTTCTAATTTGTATCTTACATGGATCCACTGAACTTGCCTATGTGCTGGGACTCCATCTGGTCGGTTGCAAATGACAACAGCATTGCTTCGTATCGATAAGATGGAGAGAACCATCATGTGGCTTAGTAGAATGGTGCAAGGTGCTCACTTGGAAGCTTGAATATCATGAGTAGTTGTGTTTTCCAGATTATGGGATGTTTGTGAATGATTTGATTCTTATGAGTTTTGAACTTTTATATTGTACATAGTTCTCTTTATAATTTTCCAAAGAAATTTGTAATTCCAAGTTAAGCATGTATCTGTGTGAGTTTATTACATCAACATTTTATTGCCCATGTCTTTACCACCGCAGAAAGTTCAATTTTATGTGTTTTTGGGATTGCTATTCGTCGCCCTAAAAATTCTTATTCGCCGCCCTAATTATGTTAAATTTACTCTAATGTCCTTGATGCCTTTCTTGTCACTTTTATGGTAGAAATTTCTGGTTCGTTGTCACTTCTAAGTTCTAAGCAACTGTACAACAAAGTATCTTGAGGAGATTGTAGAGACCATCCCCGAGGATTAAAGCAAATGAAATTAAAACCTGAACAAAAAAGTCGTCATCATCATGAGGAGTTCATGAATGACAGCAAGGAAAGTGGCAGCATGTAATATGTTTAAATTGCAGACCTTGTAACCATTGCGGCTTGTTTTACTGCTTTCTGGTAGTGTTGAAGGAATAGTTTCCTTCAAGTCCATCGATCGTCGTCACTTCCAAGCTTCTGGACGTTATCAATCTCACCTTTCGCAGTCGTTTCTCACACAAAAACAAAGAGAGAAAGAAATTTGCAGCTTTCCCACGCAAAAACGATGAGCAAATTTGGTGGGTTCTGGTGGCCACAGCAGCAGCATTGCTGATATCTTTATTAATCGCCTTCTCCAAACCATACGCTCCTCGAAGAAAATAGATGAATCAGTGGATTGGAGAATCGACGTTTTTACCCGCTTGGACCTTCTTCCTCCTTCCTCAGCAACAGCAACAGGCCGGCGAATTGGGAGATTCGGAGAGGGTGACCAGCGCTAGACCTCTTCCTCTTCCTCATGCTTCTTCTTTCTCCTTCATCGGCAACTGCAGCAGGTGGGCAAATTGGGGGAATTGCAGCGGGTCGACTGGCTAGGAGAATGGCCATAGCGACCGAATCCGACCGCTGGATTCTTTCTCCTTCTTTGCAATGGCAGCAGGTTGGCGGCTGGGGGGGAAACAACGATGGTGGCTTGGGAATGGGAGATGCAGCAGGTTGGATGAACAGCAGGGGTCGGCCGGAATTTGGCCGGCGGGGAAGTTAGGGGTTAGGGATTAAAACTAGGGGTATTAACGTCAATGTAGGGTGGTTTAGGGCGAAAATTTTAAAATTATAGGGCGACGAATATCAATTCAGTTTTTCTTGGCAGCATATGTAATAATTGTGTCACTTTTAAATAGGAGTAAACTACATTTGTGTGTTTATGTGAACAGGAGTTCAGGATTTATCAAATTCAGTCATCGTCCATTGAAAATGGAATTTGAAGTTCAAAACAACAGGACTGTCTGCGTGTTTGGCAGCAGCAGCTTACTGCCCGCTTTTCAACTACCACTGAAACTTCCACATGTCTGTGTTCTTTATGCAGCCAGCTTACATTTGTATCACTTTGATGACACAAACTGTATGCTTTTGGGTGCTTGATCAACTTGGTTGATTGTGTTAATTATGTTGTAGCCAAAATGCTACTTTCTTCTTGGGAGTCGTCAAGTAGTGTATGTTTTCATATAGAATATTTTCACAATAACACCGGCCAACGGGCCGGGCCATGCTAGTGTATTACTATCTCTTCTGTAACCTTTGTTGGATTATTGGGTAATGTAGAGACTTATTGTAAAAAAAAAAAAAAAAGCTGGAGAACAATGTCTTTTCCTTTTCTTCGTGCGATGAAATCAATAAACGATGCTTCATCGATTCCATTTTCTTTTTTTTTTTTTGGTATAAAGTGGGACGCTAAAGGGCGCCCCTGCCTCGATTCCATTTTCTTTTCTTCCTGCGATGAAATCAATAAACAATGCTTCATCGATTCCATTTTCTTTTCCTGGTAATCAGTCACAGTGATTAATGCCAATGGATGGGAACGGTCGAAGCAGAGTAATGCTCTGTCTTTCCATTTTCGTCGCCATCATCACAATCAGAACTACAGAGCAGGATGATGCGAACTGCAGCCGCTTGTTCGAATGCGGCCAGTTCAAAATCGGTTACCCTTTCTGGGGGCTCAGCCGCCCGGCCTACTGCGGCCTCCCGGCGTTCCGTCTCCGTTGCGGCATCGGGGAAACTCCAATGATCGGAATCTCCGGCATACCTCTCAAGATTCTCCGAATCGACGAATTCTCTCGGACCCTTACCCTTCTGCGAGAAGGGTACGGTGGACTCCTCTGCCTCCCTACCCAAACCATCACCTTGGCTTCGGATCTGTTCGATTACGCGCCGGACACCCAATTCGTCGTGCTCTTCTACGATTGTCCGCCGCCGTCTGTCTGGATTCAACTTCCGGCGAGTATTGGCCGGCTCAATTGCAACGGCGGTTCAGGGGATTACTTTCTGCTGAGCGAGCACCTGCTCGGGGGGTTCGAGGATTCGGTCAGGATTTGGTTGGAATCGTGCCGGAATCGAGTTAGTATGCCGGCGAATCGGACGGAGCTTGGGAGGTCGTCGCCGCCGCCGACGTCGGTGGAGAGGTTGGCGGCGGCGATGAACCACGGTTTTGGACTGCGATGGACGAGGGATTACGATGGTGCTTGCGTCAACTGTACGAAATCCGGAGGAGTGTGCGGGTTCAGTGAGAGGGCGGCGCGGTTTTTCGCTTGCTATTGCGCCGGTCAGGCTTACGCCGCCGACTGTTTGGCCCTTAGTAGTGCTTCTCCGCCGGAGAAACAACTCGGCGAAACCGGTACGATCTTTCTCTTCTTTTCTTCGAGTTCTCGGGCCAGATAGTGGGCCGATACGTTAGTGGGCCGCGAGCGGGCTTTCCATTAGATCTGGTTTACGTAAAATTTTATTTTTTAATAAGGAAAAGGTATATTTTAGTCTTTTATAATATTTAATCGTTCTAATAATTTATCTATTAAAAAAATCTACTAAAAAAACATAGGACTTTGCTACGGTGACATGCATGTCACGGTGACATGCACTTTTCGGTCGACCTCATATAGGATTAGGTTGACCTAATCTGTTGTTTCAGTGTAAAAACAGTTTCATGGTGCCTACTTTGGAGATTCATATCTTACAATTGGCTAGATGGAAATTGAAGATTAAAGGCTTGTTTTGAAACCGAAGTGTCTCTCTACACATTAAAGTACTTGGGAGCTCAATAGAAAGTCCAGAAGACCATTTTTGAACCTCATCAAAAGGCTATGTCAAAACTGGGAAACTGCCTGAAAATGGCTAAGTCTGGTAACGTGTTTGTCAAGCCTACTTTGGAGCTCAATTTGAGAAGCATGGATGCGAGTCAAGTCCCGAGGCCTCTACCACGTTAAATTATGTATTTTATTATACAAAGGCAAGACATTGGATGAAAGATTGAATATCTTTAAGGCTTCAAACAAAAGGGTCGAAGTTGCTACAAAGGCTGTTTTTCTGGCAGCTTGCTTGTGCTCGAAGTCTGCCTGAAAAACAGCCTTCATAGCAACTTCGACCCTTTTGTTTGAAGCCTTACATATCCAATCTTTCATCCAATGCCTTGAATTTGTATAAAAACATACCTAATTTAACGTGGTAGAGATCCCTAGACTCGACTCGCATTCATGCTACTCGTTTCCAGACTTCGTCATTTCCAGGAAGTTTCCCAATTTTGGCATAGCCTTTTGATGAAGTTCAAAATGGTCTTCTGGACTTCCTATCGAGCTCTCTTCCACTTCAATATGTAGAGGGACACTCCAGCTTCAAAACAAATCATTAGTCTTCAATTTTCATCTTGCCAATTGTATGATATGAATATCCAAAGTAGGCACCATGAATTATTTTTACACTGAAACAACAGATTAGGTCGACCTGATCCTATATGAGGTCGACCGAATCCTAAATGAGGTCGACCAGATCCTATATGAGGTCGACCGAATTCTAAATGAGGTCGACCTAATCCTAACTGAGGTCGACCGGAAAGTGCAAGTCACCGTGACATGCATGTCACCGTAGGCACACCCAAAAACATATCAAATATGTCATTTACCTACTAGCTTTTGTAGTTGGTCTATGATTGAATTATAAATTTACAATTATTAATTATATCAATCAATTGGTCTCACTCCTTACTCGTCTTCGATTATGTTAAGTTGTTTAATTCACTCCTTAAATCTATCAAAAAACAAGGAAAATATTTTCTCCTTAAAAATGTTCGTGGGCTCTTGCATGCAAATTTAGTGCATAATTATTTGAGACATTGATTAGTTATTGGATATTTGATTATTATCTCAACAAAACATGAAGCACTAAACCAATGATTTTTATATGTTTATTTAAGCCGTACATGCTTTGAGTTAACATGTTAAACCCTAATTCTCGAATGATTGATACTAGGTGCTAAACTCAAATTAGTGTCTTAGACCATAATTTTCCAAACCTTAAACCCTAAGAACAAATACCCTAATAACAAATACACTAAGAATAATAATCTGTGATTATAATTCTTCGAGATATATCCAACGTCAAATATGTACCATATGCGAATTTAAAGAATTAGAGTTAACGTTTAGTCATTCACATTCGAATATAGTACATTTCGTTGATTACATTGATTTGTAGATTTACAGACCGTTTGGTACCAAATGAATCGAGAATTCATTTCATTGTAAAATGAAATACCGTGTAGAATTCATTGTAAAATGAAATCCTATGTTTGGTATGTTATATTCAAATCTTTGGAAATAAAATGAGGTGTCGTGTAGAATTCATTGTCAAATGAATTACTATATTTGGTATATAATATATATAAGTAATTTAGTTAATAAAAGAGGATAATCATGTCATTCTATTATAATAAGTAAATACTTGTGGAATTCATTAGGAAATTATATCTCAATTCATCGGAATTACTATAACTAGTTCCAATTCCCTAGAATTCAAAATTTAGAATTGAAAATGAATTTTTTTAATACCAAACACAAAAATATTTCAGTTCAAAATAAATTCCTCAAAATTTATGAAATTCATTTATACCAAACGGTATGTTAGTCAAATTAGGAAAAAGTGTTTCTTTAAAAAATATAAAATTATTGATTACTTGGTGGATAAATCCTTACATTTTGAGATATTTATTTATTTTATAACTTTAATCGAGAAGATATAACAAAATTGTTGTAGTCTGGTTGATTAGCTTCCAGATTCACCAATGGAGCCGAACGAGAATTTTGAAACTCTCCTAATTCCCATCTTAAACATCATCGATTGTCCGCGATGGAAGCGATAGTTGTATTCATTGCCGAAACAAGAAGGGCGTGAACGAGCTGTAGCAGACAGAAATGTTCCTTGAGGAAAGTACTTCCCTTTATACACCTAAGCAAGGAGGGAGTGAGGTTCGTTGAGAATACGCCAGCCAATCTTAACTAAGAGAGTGAGGGGCAACCGGAAACACGACATAACATGCAGGGGCAAGGCCAAAGCTATTGACTTAATTAAAGTCTCCTTTGCCGCCCAGGACAAAGTCCTTTGCTTCCACCCCTGCAGACGCGCCAGTAATTTCTCTTCTAAATACCGGAATGTCGCCATTTTGGAGCGGACAATCAAAGGGAAAAAATCCAAAACTACCACTGTTTAAAAAAAATTACAAAAATACCACCCACTCCAAATAATTTCCAAAAATACCATCGTTTATATAAAACCGCGCCTCTAATGAGCGGGTTTTAATAAAACCGCGCCTCCAGGAAGCGTTTTACATTATAATCGCGCCTCCAGGCAGCGTTTTTAATTTCCAGAAAAAAACGCTTCTGGAAGGAGCGGTTATAGGCTAACCCTACCACAAAACGCTTCAAGAGGGAGCGTTTAACTGTCGACATTACAAACCGCCTCCCCAAGCGGCGGTTTACAAGGTCAGGACATAAACCGCTGCCCCAAGGCGCGGTTTGTGCCTGGTCACCCGACAGCCAACATGTCGGACATGTCGGCATGCAAGGGGTAGCATAACAATAACGTAAATCATTAGTATATAAATTAAATAAGTCATTATAACAACAACAACAATTGGGAAAAATGAGTACGTACCGTTTGATAATCATCATAAAAAAGGCCCTCTTCTTGAGCGAAATCGGCCATTCTCTCGGAATCCGGACAGAGGTTCGACGGTTTTTTAGTGAAAACCAAAGAAAAAGTTTTTTGGAGACAGATCGGACTTTGCCGCAACCAACAAAAAAACTAATTCTAAGGTTTTTTGGGTGGGGAGGGGGGTGGGTAGAGAGAAGTTAGAGGGAGAGAGGGGGGGGAGTGTGGTTGGTGTGCAGAAAAATGAGGGGGAGGGGGGGGGGTTATATAGCTGCCAAACCGCGTGGGGGAAGGTCGGTTCAGTAATTTTTCCCCGCCGAAAACCGCGCCTCCAGCACGCGGTTTGCGTTTCCCAACGGTCAAACCGCGCCTCGGGGGAGCAGTTTTCGTGGGCGACGCGGATCGCTGAGTTGGCACGCGTTTTGGCCGTCAGATCGCTCCTCCAACGGGCGGTTTGATGCACCGCCACGTGGCAACGCGGTTTGACAGCCATGCAAGGTCAAACCGCGCCTTGGAGGCGCGTTTTGTTCTATAACCGCCGTCTGGAGACGCGGTTTCATTAAAAACCGCTCATTAAATGCGCGGTTTTATATAAATGATGGTATTTTTGGAAATTATTTGGCGTGTGTGGTATTTTTGTAATTTTTTTTTAAACAGTGGTAGTTTTGGATTTTTTCCCAATCAAAGTGGGTAACCCCATATACTTATCATGGACCCCTACTGCACCGACCCCTAACATCGCGGCCAAAAATTCTTGATCAGGCAAGGCAACATTTTTACTAAAACAGACTGCCGACTTCTCCAGGTTAACCCGCTGCCCACTCAGCTCCTCATACTCATTCAGCACCACAATTAAATTCTCGCACTCCTGAAGAGAACCTTGCAGGAATAAATAGGAATCATTCGCGAAAAACAAATGCGAGATTCTAGGAGCACGTGGAGCCACTTTCACCCCCTCCAACTTCTTTTCCGAGATCGCTTTCCGAAGAAGGGTCGCAAACCCCTTCGTGCATAGCACAAACAAGAGAGGCGACAACGGATCTCCCTGTCGGAGTCCCCGAGAGGAATTGAAAAAACCCGAGGGTGTACCATTCATCAGTACCGAAAAAGAAGCGGATCTAAGACATTCATGTATCCATCCTTGCCAAACAGAGTTAAAACCCATTTTATCCAAAATTGTCAGAAGGAAGGGCCATTCGACTCTATCATAGGCATTTTCCATGTCAACCTTTAGAGCCATGTACCCCTTCTTCCCCTGCTTCTTTATTTTTAAATAATGCATTAACTCATGTCCGAGAAGGATGTTATCAATAATTTGCCGGTCTCTTATAAACGGATTCATGGATTGGATCAAGTGGATTGGTGGATTATCTATGAATCCAAATGACATCATCAACCTTGGACCAATATGTAAAATGTGAAAAGTTTAGGTACTAAAATGTCATAATGAAAAATTTTAGGTACCAAAACGTAATTTTCCAATGATATTTTTCGTATAAAAAATTAAATTTTAGGTACCAAAATGTAAAATATAAAAATTATAGGTACCAAACTGTAATTTGCCATTTGGATCCATGGATTGATCCATGAATCCACGGATTGATCCATGAATCCACCAATCCAATTGGATTAGGATCAAATGAATTGGATTTAAATGGATTGGATTAGGTGGATATTTTTAATGGATTGGTGGATTGGAAAGAGAATTCCCACCTCTAACTAAGAATAATGATCCGTGGTTCTAATTCTTAAAGGGGTCGTTTGGATTAAGGATTTTAGTGAGAGATTTGTGAGGGATTTTAAAACATTCCCTCATTATGCAGGATTTTAAAACATTCCTGCGTTTGGGAGTATGAGAGATTGTTGACATTAGTGATTTCGAAAACCCACAAGTGTGAGATTTCAAAATAGCTGATGGGGGTCAGCTATTTTGAAATCTCTCATCTTTTTTCCCCTTTCTTCCAAACTTGTCCTTCCTTCTCCCTTCTGCTACCTTTTTTCAACCACCCAGTATCGAGCACCAGAATCTTCCCTTCCTTTCCAAACCTGTCGACCAGAGACGATCTCTCTCACACCCGATTTGAATCATCGTCGCCACTCGCCATTTTCGTTCGACTCAATGGCATCAGTCCCACTATGCTTTTCTTCCCCTTTCCGGTTGGTCGAGATTTGACACTTTCCTCCGCTGAACAGATTCTCAACGACTCTTGTTGGTGCTGCTCTCGCTATTGTTTGGTGGAGTGAGTCGGAAAGTTCGACTCTATTTCCGCCAGACACATAATAGAAGAGGTCGGACTCCGACCGGGGGGTTATCCGTCCCCGTCTTCGTTGGCGCCGATGATACCATTTTCATGGTCGGGTTCTTCTTCCTCCTTCATGATGTGGGCAATTTCCGACGGCATGAAGAGAATGGATTCTGGGTTTCATCTGCCCCAGCTTCTGTTGTTGTTTTCTGGTTTGAGATGGTGGAAATATGATGCAGCGGAAAGGGAGGAAGAAGAAGAAACATATGCAGATGTGTACGAAGGAGGTGGGATAGGGATGGGTATAATTGTAAATTTAATTCTTTTACTAAAATCCTTCTTTCATTTCCAAACAAGTTATTTGGGTAAAATCCCACGTTTATAATTCCTAGGTTTTTAATTGAGAGATTTTAAACCAAATCTCTCATTTACACATTCCCTAATCCAAACGACCCCAAAATATATGAGAATTTAGAGAATTAGAGTTTAGCGATTAGTGATTCACGTACAAATTTATGCTATCAGCACAAAGTAGTCGGCAGAAAATTTAAAAGTATCGGTTATTTAGAGGACGCATCATTGTGGTGAATAAGTCCTTACATTTTGAGATGTTTATGTTGATATGACTTGAATCGGATTATCAGCCGCTACGACTGGTAATCGTGGGTGTATCAAGTCAAGGTGGAGATTTGTTGATGTGACTTGAATCGGACTATCAGCCCACAGTGTATGGGCTCAATGTTATTTGGGTTCGGGTTCTGGGCCTGGTCTGTAACCGTTTCCTTTGCCAGATTGGATTAGGTTTAAGGGACCTTTGCTAATCGGGGATAAAACTCGGGACCCACATGGAGAAGTACTATAAATACTTCTCATACTCCTCTGTAATCTGAAATCTCCTTGATATAGTGAAACTGGCTCTCTCTCGCCCGTGGACGTAGCTAACACACATCGTGTTAGTGAACCACGTAAATCGTGTGTCGTGTTTTCAATTCTCGCTTTCGTATTCTTGCTTTGTCGATTCCTGCGATTTCCCGATCCGTAGCAGCGCGTTTATAACAAGTGGTATCAGAGCCGCGGCTGGAAATCAGGCTAGGGTTTTCGATTCAGAAGAATGACGTCGGTGAACATGAAGATCGAAAAGTTCACGGGGAAGAACAGCTTCGCTATATGGCAGATCAAGATGCAGGCTTTATTAAAACAGCAAGGGCTGTGGGGGCCGCTGTCTGCGAAACAGAAGAAGGCAGCGGTCGATGACGATGAGTGGAACACCCTGGAGGAGAAGGCCCACTCGACCATCATGCTATTGTTTGTGTGATGACGTCATCATTGAAGTCGCTGCTGAGAAGACTGCCGCGGGCTTGTGGTTAAAGTTGGAGAGTCTGTATATGACGAAGTCCTTAACCAACAAGCTGCATCTCAAGCAACGGTTGTTCAGCTTGAGGATGCAAGAATATAGATGTTCACGTTGATGATGAGGATGCTGCCCTAATCCTGCTGGTTTCTTTGCCGAGTTCATATGAGAATTTCGTTGATTCTTTTATTGCTGGTAAAGAAAGCGTGTCGTTGGAGGATGTCAGGTCTGCTCTTCATACGAGAGAGATCAGACATAAGGCGTCTGGATCTGGTACAGGTGGTGAGGCATCGGGTTTGGCTGTTACAGGTGGAAAGAGAAAGAAGAAATCTGGTAAAGGGAATTCGAACAAGAATTCCAAGGGTCCCGGTCCACAGCCAGGTGATGCTTGTCACAACTGTAAGGAAGTGGGGCATTGGAAGTACAACTGTCCCAAGAGAAGAGGGCAACAGAAGAAACAAGGTTCAATTGCCGTGGCAGAAGTGGACAACAGTTTTGAAGACGATCTCGCCTTGGCTGTAGATGAGAAGGCACATCGTGGGGATGTGTGGTTTCTGGATACTGCAGCCTCATACCATATGTCTCCGAACAGGGATTGCTTCACAACCTACGAGCAGATAGATGGTGGTAACGTGGTCATGGCAAATGGAGCTGTCTGCAAGGTTGTTGGAATCGGGTCCATAAAGGTTCGGACACATGATGGTTCGTTCTGTACCGTGAATGATGTCAGGCATGTTCCACGAATGACAAAGAACCTGATCTCCTTGAGTCTACTCGACAGCAAGGGTTTCTGTTTCAAAGGAAAAGGTGGAGTTATATATGTCTGCAAAGGTTCAAGGATGGTGCTGAAGGGCGTGAAGCGTGGGACCTTGTATGCATTACAAGGGTCTGTGTTGTCTGGTTCTGCTGCCGTTGCATCGTCTCAGGTTCATCAGGAAGATATGACCACTCTCTGGCACATGAGGCTGGGGCATATGAGTGAACGGGGGATGCAAGTTCTGTCGAAGAGGGATCTTCTTTGCGGGCACAGGATGCAGAATTTGGAATTCTGCGAGCATTGTGTGTTTGGGAAGCTACATCGGAGCAAGTTTCCCAAGAAGGGTATCCACCGGACGAAGGGGATACTGGATTGCCTCCACTCCTACTGTTGGGGTCCTTCACGAGTTGAATCCATTGGAGGCAGCAGGTATTTTCTGTCTATTATTGATGATTATTCGAGATTTACTTGGTTTTTCATGATGAAGCAGAAAAGTGAGGCTTTCACGAAGTTCAAGCAGTGGAAGACATTGGTGGAGAATCAGACCGAGAAGAAGATCAAGAAGCTGCGAACGGACAATGGTCTAGAGCTCTGTAATTCTGAGTTCAACGAATTCTGCGAGGATGAAGGGATTTCCCGTCATCGGACTGTGAGAGATACACCCCAGCAGAATGGCATTGCAGAAAGGATGAACCAGACATTGTTGGAGAGAGCATGGTGCATGCTCTCTAATGCTGGACTAGAGAGAAGATTCTGGGCAGAAGCAGTGAACATGGCGTGCTTCTTGATCAACCGTGGACCTCATATAGGTATCGAGTTGAAGACTCCTTATGAGGTGTGGTATGGTAAGCCTGCAGATTACTCTTCACTGAAAAGTTTTTGGGTGTCCTGTTTATTATCATGTGGATGAGGGTAAACTGAACCCAAGGGCAAAGAAGGGTGTTTTTGTGGGTTACGGAGATGGAGTTAAGGGATTTCGAGTCTGGTCACCTTATGAGCATCGAGTTATACTCAGTAGAAATGTGATATTTGATGAGAAGTCTATGTCTAACCCCATGTTGAAGGTTACTGTTGTTGAAGGTAGCAGGAATGTTGATAAGCAGGTGGAGCTGCAAACTCTCAATGAGAGTGAGTTTGAGCACCAAGGTGGAGAAGATCAACATGATGAGGATGTCTCTGCAGAGCCAGAAACTTCAGAGTCCAGTGCACGAGCTCAACAGTCTATGGCTTCCGGTAGACCGAAGAGAACGACTGCAGGAGTACCTCCACAGAGGTATGGTTTCGAGGACATGGTGGCGTATTCATTTCAGGTTGCTGAAGAAGTGGATGCAGGAGAGCCACAGTCCTATAGAGAAGCCGTTTTGGGTGGCGAAGCTGATCAGTGGCTTGCCGCAATGGGAGATGAGATGGAATCCCATGACAAGAATAAGACTTGGGAGCTAGTCAAACGAACACAGGGAAGGAAGATTGTTACAAACAAGTGTCTACAAGAAGAAGGAAGGAATCACTTCTAAAGAGGGCATGAAATTTAAAGCTCGGGTGGTTGCACGAGGCTTCTCGCAAAGGGAAGGAGTTGACTACAATGAGATTTTCTCACCAGTGGTCAGACATACTTCGATCAGAGTGCTACTAGCAATAGTGGCACATTATGACTTGGAGCTCGAGCAGCTAGACGTGAAGACAGCTTTCCTACATGGAGAGTTGGAGGAAGAAATTTACATGGCTCAGCCAGAAGGATTCGAGGTTCCTGGAAAAGAAGACTTTGTTTGTAAGCTGAAGAAGTCCTTGTATGGACTTAAGCAGTTTCTGAGGCAGTGGTACAAGAGATTTGACAGTTACATGCTTGAGCTGGGCTATAGCAGAAGTCCATATGATTGTTGTGTGTATCACAACAAGGCGGAGGATGGTTCGATGATCTATCTTGTTCTGTATGTGGATGATATGCTCATAGCTGCGAGGTCGAAGTCTGATATCCAGAAGTTAAAGGGGCTTCTCAGTGCTGAGTTTGAGATGAAGGATTTGAGAGCTGCTCAGAAGATCTTGGGTATGGAGATTTACAGGGACAGGTCGAAGAAGAAGTTTTTCTTGTCATAGAAGAGCTACATCCAGAAGATATTGTCGAGGTTTGGCATGTCTTCAGCAAAGCCTTTAAATACTCCTAGTGCTTCAAATGTCCATCTATCCTCAGCTTATGCACCACAGTCGGAGGCTGAGAAGGAGTACATGTCGAGAGTCCAATATGCTAGTGCAGTAGGTAGCTTGATGTATGCTATGGTATGCACTAGACCTGATCTTGCACATGCTGTTAGTGTTGTCAGCAGGTTTATGATACAACCTGGGAAGGAGCATTGGCAGGCTGTGAAGAGGATCTTCCGGTACCTTAAGGGTACACCTGATGTGGGGATTAGCTTCGGAAGTGATACAGAATGCTTGGTGTCTGGGTATTCTGACTCGGACTATGCTGGAGATGTTGACACGAGGAGATCGATGACCGGTTATGTATTCACTCTTGGGAGTTCTGTAGTGAGCTGGAAGGCAACTTTGCAGTCGGCGGTGACATTGTCTACTACTGAGGCAGAGTATATGGCATTGACAGAAGCTGCTAAGGAGGGAATATGGTTGAAGGGACTGGTTGGTGATCTTGGTCTACATCATGATCAGGCAGTGGTGTATTGCGACAGTTTGAGTGCAATATGCTTGGCCAAGGATCAAGTCCACCATGAGAGGACTAAGCACATTGATGTGAGGTATCATTTCTTGAGGATAGAGAAGAGGATTAAGGTGAGGAAGGTTGGCACCGCGGATAATCCTGCTGATATGTTCACGAAGCCGGTTCCACATGGCAAGTTCCAACACTGCTTGGGCTTGCTGAATGTCTTGAGTGGGTGACTCCGCCCTGCGGGGCATTGATGGCGGGAGAGAGAGATAGAAGGAGCAGAGTACATCAGAGATTTCAGAGGAAGAGGATTCAAGTCAAGGTGGAGATTTGTTGATATGACTTGAATCGGATTACCAGCCGTTACGACTGGTAATCGGGGGAAAAGTTTAGGTACTAAAATGTCATAATGAAAAATTTTAGGTACCAAAACGTAATTTTCCAATGATATTTCTCGTATAAAAAATTAAATTTTAGGTACCAAAATGTAAAATATAAAAATTATAGGTACCAAACCGTAATTTGCCATTTGGATCCATGGATTGATCCATGAATCCATCAATCCAATTGGATTAGGATCAAATGAATTGGATTTAAATGGATTGTATTACGTGGATATTTTTAATGGATTGGAAAGAGAATTCCCACCTCTAACTAAGAATAATGATCCGTGGTTCTAATTCTTAAAATATATGAGAATTTAGAGAATTAGAGTTTAGCGATTAGTGATTCACGTACAAATTTATGCTATCAGCACAAAGTAGTCGGCAGAAAATTTAAAAGTATCGGTTATTTAGAGGACGCATCATTGTGGTGAATAAGTCCTTACATTTTGAGATGTTTATGTTGATATGACTTGAATCGGATTATCAGCCGCTACGACTGGTAATCGGGGGTGTATCAAGTCAAGGTGGAGATTTGTTGATGTGACTTGAATCGGACTATCAGCCCACGGTGTATGGGCTCAATGTTATTTGGGTTCGGGTTCTGGGCCTGGTCTGTAACCGTTTCCTTTGCCAGATTGGATTAGGTTTAGACCCACATGGAGAAGTACTATAAATACTTCTCATACTCCTCTGTAATCTGAAATCTCCTTGATATAGTGAAACTGGCTCTCTCTCGCCCGTGAACGTAGCTAACACACATCATGTTAGTGAACCACGTAAATCGTGTGTCGTGTTTTCGATTCTCGCTTTCGTATTCTTGCTTTGTCGATTCCTGCGATTTTTCGATCCGTAGCAGCGCGTTTATAAAAGTTTATTTATTTTATAACTTCAATCGAGAAGACGTCACAAAATTGTTTGTAGTCTAGTTGATTAGCTTCAAGATTCACTAAATGGAGCCGAACGAGAATTTTGAAACTCTCCTAATCCCCATCTTAAACATCATCGATTGTCCGCGATGAAAACGATACTTGTATTCATTGCCCTGAACAAAATCAGTCATTTTATTCATAGTGATTAATGGCCAATGGTCGAAGAAGAGTAATGCTCTGTTTTCCCATTTACGCCGGCGCCGCCGTCGCCATCATCGCGATCACCGCTGCAGCGCAAGATTACGCCAACTGCAGCCGGCTGTTCGAATGCGGCCGCGTCCGAATCGGTTACCCTTTCTCGGGGCTGAACCGCCCTGCCTATTGCGGCCGCCCGGCGTTCAATCTCAATTGCAGCGGCGGCATAGTTCCAACGATTGCCATCTCAGGCCAACGCCACAAAATTCTCGACATCGACGAGCCGTCTCGGACCCTAACCGTCCTCCGGAGCGACTACAGGGGAATCCTCTGCTCCGCCGACGATCCCGGGAACGCCACCGTGGACGCGGGCCCGTTCGATTTCACGCCGGACACTCAATTCTTGGCGGTGTACCGTGGCTGCCCGCCGCCGGAGTACGGGACGCAGCTGCCGGCGAGCTTGGGCGAGCTCAATTGCGGCCGCGATGGGCGCGAGGGTTACTACCTGTTGAGCGAGGAAATGCTCGGGGGATTCGAGGGCTCCGTCAGGAAATTGTTGGGGTCGTGCGGGAATCGGGTTATGGTCCCTGTGAATCGGACGAAGCTGGAGAGATCGCCGCCGGCGTCGGCGAAGAGGCTGCCGGCGGCGATTTACCAAGGTTATGGGCTGCGGTGGACGGGGGGTTACGTTAGTGCTTGTGCCGAATGTGTGAAGTCCGGTGGGGAGTGCGGTTCCGATGAGACGGCGGCGGGTTCGTTCGCTTGCTATTGCTCCGGTGAGGCTTACGCCGCCGGATGTTTGCTCGGTGGCAGTGGTTTGCCGCCGGGAAATGCGTTCGATAAAACCGGTACGATTTTGTTCTTTTCCCCTCTTAGTTCTCGTTTTATATTGATCACGACAATGGGTTGAATTACTCAATGAATCAATATTGTTACATCGAATTCTCGAAAATTGAGAGGTTTCCGTGAGCTATGATTAACTTATAAAAATGTAGTTTTTGACTTACTCAAATCCATAAATCAAGCAATCTCTAAAAACCAAGGTTGTCAACCCGCGGGTCGACCCACTTTGACCCTGACCCGGTGAGAAAAACGAGCCGCACACACCCGTCGGGTCGACCGCTATAAGATACCGGGTTGAAGGTCAAATTGTGTCATTTTTTTCTTTGGTTTGCGAAATGCGTATATTTTCCGAAGTTGAATATTTGAATATTGGTGTATATAAGTGTGTGTGAATTTTCACTTTATGCTAGATCTAAGTACGATATGTTATTTTGGTGTAATATTATATGTTGTAACTCATATGTTAGATAAGAATTGATATAATTTATAAGGAAAAGTACAATATAATGACTCATCCATATTTCCGGGCCAAACCGGGCTAAAACGGTTGACCCATTAACCCTTGACCCACTAGCTCGACCGGGTCCGGGGCAACCCGCGGGTTGACAACCTTGCTAAAAACCTTTTAGCAAATAGGTACTACTGAAGAGATTCGAACCTGGGACCTCCAAGTTCAAGGCTAATAGTATTACCACTAGACCAATCCCTTGTTCGTAAGAACTGTAGATTCGTATGGGACTTTGTACTAAAAAATTAATAGTAGAATAATTTGTGCTGAAATCGTTGTAACGTATAATTCATCTGTTTCATTGCATTAAAAATCGTCTATTAATATAGACTCCGACAAGAGTTTGTTGCCATACTATTTCACAAACACTGTGTTTTTAGGTGTTTTGATGGTGGAGATTTATTAAAGGGTAAGATTTTCAAGTAATTTACTCGACTTTTTTTTACCGTAAATCTTACAAAATTTGTATTGAAAGTCCAGAAGCAGCGAAGAAAAGGGTTTTGCTGAGAATATTGCTACCAATTGCTGCCATCATTACTCTGTCCCTCATCGCCATCGCTTTGTTTCATCACTTCCGAAGCAGAGGATTGAAGAAACAGAGCAGTAAAAACTTATCTCTCCTTCCCAAGCCACCAGAATTCAACAAACTGCAGTCATCCAAATTGTCACCATTCAACGTCGAGTCTCCTCCAAATCTACAATCATTCACCTTCTCCGAAATCAAAGCAGCGACTAACGACTTCTCCGCTGACAACTTGCTTGGATCTGGTGGGTTCGGCCATGTCTACAAGGTCAGTGAAGCTTTCTTTCCCCTGAAACCTGACAGGTTTCCTGAAACATGAACTCTCTTCTTCTTCTTCTTCTTCTTTCTAGTGTGTGTTCCCTGGAGGTGAGGAAATGGCGGTGAAACGGCTCTCGAAATCGTCAACTCAGGGGCTCCTGGAGTTCACGAACGAGGTTTCGCTCACCGCGAGGCTTCAACATGTGAACCTGGTAAGGGTTTTGGGGTTCTGCACTGAGAATGAAGAGAAGATGCTGGTGTACGAGTTCATGGCTAACAGAAGCTTGGACATTTTCCTCTTCGGTAAAGGTTTCTTATTTTTATCATACTTCATTACTGATAGTTGTCACAAGAATGATTCAATGATTTTGGTTTCCTGGCTACCATGGGTGCAGATCCAGTGAAAAGATTGAGCCTGGATTGGAACACTAGGGTTAGGATCATCGAAGGAGTGACTCAAGGACTTTTGTACCTCCAGGAGTACTCCAACTTCACCATTATTCACAGAGATATAAAGGCCAACAATGTTCTTCTGGATGATGGGATGAACCCGAAGATTTCGGATTTTGGGATTGCAAAATTGTTCGGGAAAGATCTGGACAAAGCTAACACCAACACGATTGTCGGAACCTAGTAAGTCTTCATAACATATCTATGAACGAATACTTATTTTTTTAGCGTGTTGACTATTATATCCTTTGGATCGAAGAATGATATGTATGTGTCTCATGTATAATGTGGTATGCAGTGGATACGTTCCTCCTGAATACGTGAAGCATGGGATATATTCAATGAAATACGACGTCTATAGCTTCGGGGTTTTGCTCTTGCAAATCATTAGCGGCAAAAGGACCCAATGTTACTATGGTACAGAAGAAGACATGCACCTTTTAGACCATGTAATAAGTCACTTGTACCCCATCCTATCTTGACAAAATTTCATGTATAAAATCTTTTGAAATGCTAACTTGTGAGAATGTGATTTCCACAGGCTTACGACTCATGGAGAAGAGGGGAAGGAATGGAATTTTGTGACCCCTCATTGGATGATTCATCTTCACAATGTAAGATGATAAACTGTCTGCAAGTAGCACTATTGTGCATTCAAGAAGATCCTGATGACAGGCCAACAATGTTGGAAGTATCATCTATTTTGAGGAACGGTGCTCTGGGGATGGATATCCCCAAGGAACCTGCATTTTCAGCGAGAAGGGCAATGATGTCTTCTATGAATTCTAGATGTCAGCAAGAAATGTTTACGTATAATATTTCTGACATCTCTTCAGTAGAGCCGCGTTGATACAACACAAATTGTGTTGTAGAGCTAGACAAAGACATTGTCATTTCCAAGAGCAGGATTCCATCAACTTGGATATTGTAACTCGGGGAGTTCAAAGAGAGGGGAAATCAAACGACGTTCGTCGGCGTCCATTTATTGAGTAGAACAGGCCAAATACCGTCTCCTTTTTTGTTTTCGTTCAGTTGCCCTCTCCGATTGTCGTGCTTCAACCGCCGACTGGGATCCCAGCCGTAGTTCCATGGCCGTCGCAGGGATTTCACCCTCCCGTTGTGGCTCAAAAATCGACACACCGATCCATTTTTCAGTCGTCCCTAAACCCTACTCTCCCAATTTTATTTCACGGACTACCGACCCCAAACCGAGAGACGAAGCTCTGCAGTGCGTGTCTTCTCCTCTGCCGGATACGAACGGCCAGTGATGTATTGCTCAAAGCCAGAGAGTGTTAGGGAGAGAGGCCGCTTCCATCCCAAATTGGTCGTCCCTCTCACACACCCACCGCCCTCGATACCTCTCTAATTGGCGCCAGTCTCCGCCAGCGACCTCCATTGCCCTCGATACCTCTCTAATTGGTGTCAGTCTCAGCCACCAACCTCCATCACCCTCGATACCTCTCTAATTGGTGTTAGTCTCAGCCAGTGACCTCCATCGAAGAATTCTTTGCCCCCATCAATGGTAGCAGTCGGTTTCCTTTTCTTAAGATTGACGAGGTAGAAAGAAAACCTTAAGCAACAAGCTCTGAACTCCCCTTCCTTTCTCTGACGTCTTCGCACAGAGTCTTTCGTTGGTAAGGAAAACTGCAGAGACGATCTGCAAATAACCCTCTCCTGGCTTCGACCTGACTCACCCCACCGATTACTTCATATTAAATCGCCGATGGCCTCTACCCATCAATCGTTATGGATGACCAATCTGTAAGATCCCTCTATTCTCTCTCATTTCTTCTTGCTACTTCCTTCCTCCTCAAATAATTTCTCCACTAGGCGTGATTGCGGCTGTAGGAGTTTTTCCGCTTGTGTTGCTATTCATAGTGGAGTTCGTTTTTGAAGAATTCTCATTACTTTGGTTTGCTGTACTGAACGCTTTCCATCATCTGCAATGTTCGATGGGGAATGATTAGTTGTTGATTGCCACATTCTTTCCGTCACAGCCGTCGCCGCAACCAGCTGCAAAGAAATCAGGAGGTACATCTCATCCGCTAAATCCAATTCCCCACCGCCGACTGCTACAGCTGTGTTCAAAGGAACTCGGCTAGGAGCCCAACCAGCAACCATCACAGCTTCCAACCCTGAAATCGTAAAGCCTGATCTAATTGAGTCTCTTTTTTTTCCATATAAAACCTTGCATTTGGGAAGGTGTACACTCTTGCCATGTATGAAGGTCTTTGGCTTAAATATTTGCCTGAAGAGGACACTCTTAGTCTGTAGAGTAGTCTGTGATCATGCTTGCACATTATTGTACATGATACTCGATCAAAGTTAATTCGTGGGCTGAAGCCATTATGAACTCGGTTTTATGAATTAAAGAAAATCATGAATGAGAAGAACTATGAATTGCAGCCTATGCAACAGGCATCAGGTAAGCTCCCAAACAATGATACGGGTCATGGTGGGATATGCTCATGAGAGGAAGAGCTTCATGATCCTGTAATTCTTTGTTTGGTTCCACATTTCTGGTCATTTGATAACAGGAGGGTCACACTTAAATTATATGTTATTTGCTTTGTTACTACACCATGATAAGCTGATTGCGTTAATTTGAAGTTGTAGGCTGGAATTAAACTACATCACAAGCTTTCTGCAACTTGCAGGCAGGAACTGCAGGTAAACATACTTTTCTTCTTTCTCTTCCTCTTCCTCTCATGAATAAGGATCAAGTATACAGTCGCGCAGTGAATAGGGCATATATCAACTAAGAAAGTCACATAGTGTTTGGTATTTTGCAAGTCCAACTCAATAATGCTATAGTATTGCTTTATAGGGTAACCAACTTTTATATTTCTGTCGATTTACTCATTGTATCATTAGTTACTAAAAGTTTTGTTCAAATGTTCTGAAGAATATATTGTGATAGGGGAATGCATATTTCATGGTTGGTACAATTAAAGACATGACTATTTCATGTTCAAGTGAATCTGAGTTGCAAATGGTGTATTTCACTACTGAAGATTAGGGATGACAATGGGACGGGTTTGGGGTGGGTTTGTCTAAACCATCCCATCCACGCTTTTAAATATCTATACCCATACGGGGAAGGTTTTTCAAACCCATCCCCATACCCATGGGTTTCGGGTACCCATGGGTAATACCTGCCCGTACATCCAATATTATAATACGCACCTCTATATCATGAAGTCGACAAAGAGACAGTCATTTTTAATACGAATCAAAACATCTTATCCTAAAGCATCCATTAATCCATATCAGAGTAGAGTACAATGTCATTCAAATCATTATTCTCTATTGTGATACATCTATTAAGTAATAAATTAACTAACATAATCTTGTTAACAATGGGAAAAAGTGAAAGAGTGAAGGGAAAATTGAGAGAAATAAATTAGATTTTGATTTGAGTGGCCACTCAATTGCATTTCTACTATATATTTTTATTGAGTTATACTCACTATTATTCATAGCTTACAAATTGATTCACATATTTTTCACATGTGAAGAAATATTTTTTGTGGGGCGGGTAGGGGGGGGGGGGGGGGGGGGGGGGGCTAAAACCATACCATACCCACCCTACACCCATCAAACTCTTAGCGGGTTTTACCCATACCCGGTCAATGCGCGAATTCCCCGCGTTGACTAGGTCGGGGGCGGTCGAATACCCGTGAGCATGAGTTTGATTGCCATCCATACTGAAGATCCAACTGCGGAAGTTAAAGTCATGTTCCCGTCTTCACACCTTAGCCAATTTTATGTGATGTGTTGACTGGCGATCATATTGATTGGAACCAAAACTACATGACAATGCTGAGAACTATCCATGGCAATACATACCACTTGATGATTAAAGTCGGAGCGAGGAACCACACTACCAAATACCACTGTGATTTGGTCTTGCATAAGCTGTTTACTCCTCCCAGTAATTGATTTGTGCTTTTGTGGGCCTGTTGTCCTATTTTTCCAGCAGACAATGGTTTTCTTTAGTCGGAAGGAACATATTAATTTACTTTCCCATTCGACTTTAACCTCCAGGTTTATTGCAAGTATGTTGATCAACAGCTTGAACACTATTGACATGGTTGCTTTGATGTTTCTATTTAGTTTAATTTTGTTCCCATCAATGTTAGTTTCAATTAAGTAGTTATTCCCAACCTCTGAACCATTTCGTGTGTGGTTCCTTTTTGACTTTGTTGTCACTTTCTGTCCTCATTATTCAAAGATTGCTTTATCTGCTGAAAGACTAGGCTAATCGGGTTGTTCGAGGTTGAACCATTTAATAACTTTAATAACTTTAGAATACATTATATTTTAACCACTAAGATATAAAATAATAGTTTAATACATGTTTCAAATTAGAAAAACTAGGCTAATCGAGTTGGATCCTAGGTTAACCATTTAACCCTTTTCGTGAGTTGATAAATGGATTGTTCCATTCGAATTAATAACTTTGAGGATAATATGAAAATTTTGAGGATGAGATGAAAATTTTATAAAGAAAATTAATCGGCCAACAGGCCGAGTAAAAGCTAGCAACGATTGTGAGATAGGTGATTGTTTATTGGTCTGCAATTCGGTTTCTATAAAACTTCACCTTATCATATTACCAGAAATAATATTGTTTCACAAGGTAACAGATATTCGAACTTGGATCATAAGCCTGATTTTTAATTCGTTGCATCATCCATGCCTCATTCCTACTAAAATTCACCATCTTTGTCAGAAAAACGAAGAGGACAGTCACCGGCTCTTGATCGCCGGCGTAATGGGTAGGTGAACACAAGAAAAGAACCCAGAAAAGAAAGGCGGGTGAGAAAGAGGAACGGAAGAAACGAGATCTTCCTGGTGACGGCCGAACAGCGACACCGACGATGATGGTGATGGGTTGCGAGACGGTGTTGGAAATAACCAGGCAGCGGGTACCGGGCTGATGACGATCGATCGTGCTTTCGACTGATGGAGATTCGAGATCTGAGCTGCCATGGTCGATCGGAGGCAACGTTGATGTTGGTGTTGGATGTGAAGCAGATGTGCACAATGGCTGCATTGGTTTGAGTTGCAATATGAAGAAGATGATGCAGCCATGGTGATCAGACAATACAGCAGCAGCAGGAGAACACGAGGACCTTCAGTCAAGCTTCCTTTCACTTGACTTGAAGCTAAACGCTGCCGTATTTCCTTATGTAAATCGTAGATAGAATTTACTTCTCCTTGCCACTTGGCACACTGTAAATGGTAGATTCATTAGTTAGTTTATTTTACCGTTGCTGTACAGTAAATACTGAACTCGGTATATATATGGAAGTCCCAACAGAGGAAAGGCATCTTTGCCAATTCCCCAAATATGGCTGCTGTTCTCAGCTCATTCTCTGAAACCCTAGTCATGGATTCAGCTAGGTTTAGATCTTTCTCATGGTATCAGAGCCTGGTTGGCTGCTGACCATCTCTACCCTCTAAACACATTTTCTATTTTATCTACTTTCAACCTACAAATTCTCTGTTATTACTACTTAAACAATGGAAGGAAAAGATGGTCTTCTGGATCTGAGGCTGGATCACAGGACAGAGGAAAAGATGTTGCCCAGCAACATTACGAAGATCCTTACAACAATCCCTACTACCTGGCACACAGCGACAACTCATTTCTTCCCGTCATCGGCTTCAAACTCAACGATGACAACTACCTTCTCTGGAGTAAGTCCATGGAAGTTGCTCTGCGCACCAAAAACAAGCTAGGTTTTGTTCTTGGAACGATTCAGGTACCTCCTATTACAGATCCTATGTATGGCACTTGGGATAGAGTGAATGGAACCGTTGTGTGCTGGATTAGAAATTCTGTTTCTGAGGACATCGTGCCCAGTCTGAGGAACATTAGGGTTGCTTCTGAAGCTTGGACTTACCTGAAATCAAAGTTCAGTCAGGGAGATTCTGTACGAATTGCTAATTTACAGGATAAGATTGATCTTACCAAGCAAGGAACCCTAACTGTTAGACAGTACCACACTGATTTGAAGGTCTTGTGGGATGAACAAGAAAGCTACTTTCCCATACCCTTTTGTGATTGTGCGTCTAAGACCTATGAAACAGTGATGATGTATCGAGATCGAGCTAAGGTGATTAAGTTCTTGCTGGGTTTGAATGAGAAGTACCAGCAAGTGAAAACACAAATGCTTATGTTAGATCACTTGCCTGATTTGGACAGCATCTACAGATCAGTGGTACAACTGGAAAGACAGCTCAATGGAACCAATGAAAATACTGGGAAGTCAGAAGAGGCCATTGCTTTGGCTACAGCCCTTGCTGCATCTAAGTCTCTTTCAGTGCAAGGAAGAGATAAGCAGTACAAAGAAGCTCCTCAGGACACAGCCTTATTCTGTCGTTACTGCAAGAAGGATAACCATGTTATCCAAGACTGCTGGAAACTTAAAAGGAAAAACAAAGAAGGAGGAGGAAGAAACTTTGAAGGAGGAGGCAGAAACTTTGCTGGTTCTGTGGATGTTAATACTGGGGACAGGAATACTCCAGGAGGAGGAGGAGGAAATCCAACCTACTCACCTGCAAGCCCTGGAAGCAGTTCTGACAATCAATCTGTGTTCTCAGGGTTTACAGCAGAGGAACTTAATCGTCTTAAGGCGTTGCTGCAAGCTCCCCAACAACATACACATTCTTCTGCCAACTCCATTGTGACCAGTAACACTGCTATGACAGGTATCACTGTGCTTTCCACTACTTCTAAACCTGGAAATGGGAATTTATGGATCCTGGATACAGGAGCAAGTGATCATATTATTTGTTCAATGACATTCTTTCTTAAATGCAAAGAAGTTAAGAATCTGTCAGTAACCTTACCTACTGGCCAAGTAGCTGTTGTCACACATATTGGCATTGTTAAGCTGCCTTGTGGTCTAATTCTCACAAATGTCCTCTTAGTTCCAACCTTTAGCTACAATCTCATTTCTATTAGCAAGCTCACACAGAACAACCCCATCTCACTTTTGTTTGAATCCAATTTTTGTTGCATCCAGGACCTAATCTCTCGACAGAGGATTGGTTTAATCCACGTAGATAGAGGGCTTTATTTGCTTGAAGGAGTGACATCCCCTGGAGAGTCTTGCAAACCAACAGTTCTTGGAGTGACCACCACCAAAAGCTCAGAGCTATGGCATGCCAGATTAGGACATTTGTCTCTTCCTAGACTACAAGAGATTAAGAAACAACATGTTGATGTTATTGTTCCAGAGTTTTTGAATTGTGATATCTGTCATCTAGCTAAACAAAAGAGGCTGCCCTTTTTTAGAAGCACCTCCATAGCTAGAGAACCATTTGATATTGTTCATGTTAATATATGGGGGCCAGTAGATGTGGTTTCTCATGACGGATTTAAGTATTTTCTTACTGTTCTTGATGATTGTAGTCGAACTACTTGGCTATACCTTATGAAAAACAAATATGAAGCCAGAGATTTGTTACAGAGTTTTCATGCCATGATTGATACTCAATTTGGTAGAAGAATTAAAACCATCAGGTCTGATCAAGGGCAAGAATTCAACATACCTGCCTTTTATCAGAAACATGGGATTGTGCATGAGATGACAGCACAGCAAAATGGAAGGGTTGAACGCAAACATCAGCACTTGCTGAATGTTGCACGAGCTTTAAAACTGCATTCTGGTGCACCAGTCAGTTTCTGGAGTCACATGGTTATGCATGCTGCATATCTAATCAACAGGACACCAACACCAATTCTGAATAACAAAACACCCTTTGAATGTTTGTATGGGATTCCTCCTGACTATACAGACTTAAAAGTGTTTGGTTGTTTAGCTTTTGCCACTGTGCTTGAAGAACACAAACGGAAATTTGACTCCAGAGCTAGGAAATGTGTGTTCCTGGGATACAGATTTGGAATTAAAGGTTTTAAACTATATGATTTGGCCACTCATGATGTGTTTGTCAGCAGAGATGTGGAGTTCAATGAAACTTCATTCCCCTTTCAACAGCCTGAGAGTGACCAATCAACCACTACTTCTCCCCATCCTACTCTCATTGATACCCTTCCTGCATCCACATTCACTGATTCTTTTCCTCAGGATCATAACATACATGAAACCAATGATTCTGATTATTACCCTTCTGATTCAGAACTTGATACCTCACCTGTTTCCATACCCAATGTTTCCCCTGGATCATCTTCACCACCCACACCAGCAGCTATTCCAGCTACTTCTCCTACTTCTTCATCACCTGCTTCCTCATCAGGTCAAGCTACTCCTGCTCCCATTCTGAGAAAATCTACAAGGATTCCCAGACAACCTATTCATTTACAAGACTACCATACATCATTCATGACTCATTCTTCTTTTGGCAGTCATGATTCTAAACTCTTATATCCCCTTTCCAACCACCTAGACTACTCCCACTTATCCCCTTCTCACCTCCACTACATCATGTCCATTTCTGCCACCTCTGATCCCCACAGTTACTCTCAGGCTGTCCTAGAAGATTGCTGGAATCAAGCTGTTCAGGAGGAGTTGAAGGCCTTATTTGACAATGGCACCTGGAAAATAGTGGACAGACCACCTGGCAAGAAGATCATAGGCAACAAATGGCTGTTCAAAACCAAATTCACATCAGATGGACATATTGATAAAAGGAAAGCTAGGTTGGTGGCTAAGGGTTATACACAGACCTATGGGGTTGACTTTGTGGACACATTCTCACCAGTGGCCAAGTTAAACTCAGTTAAATTGCTCTTGGCAGTAGCAGCTACCAAGAACTGGCATCTTCACCAGATGGATGTCAGTAATGCATTCCTCCATGGTGATTTAGAGGAGGAGGTTTACATGGAATTACCTGAAGGATTGAGAGAGCTAAGTCACATGAAGGGAAAGGTTTGTAAACTGGAAAAATCCTTGTATGAATTGAAACAGGCAAGCAGAAAATGGTTCATCAAATTGTCTGAATACTTGAAGTCAGCAGGTTTCAAACAGTCCTTTGAAGACTACTCAGTATTTAGCACACAATCTGTCATTCTCATTGTATATGTTGATGACATTTTGCTGGCAGGCCCTAATCTAAATGACATTGAATGTGTTAAGCACAAATTGAAGCAAGGTTTTAAGGTCAAGGATTTAGGGAACATGAAGTACTTCTTGGGATTAGAAGTTGCAAGGAATCAGGAGGGAATCTCATTGAATCAAAGAAAATTCTGCCTAGAGCTATTAGCTAATGCAGAATTCCTGGAAAGCAAACCTGCTAAGACTCCACTCAGCATGAAAACAGTGTATTGTGCATCAGATGGAGTACCTCTCGCAGATGGTAGTAATTACAGACACTGGCTTGGACAACTTCACTATCTAACCACTACTAGACTAGACATTTCATTCCCTGTTCAGCAGCTGTGTCAGTTTCAAGCTAATCCTACTACAACACATTTGAAGGGATTGCAAAGAATTCTTAGATACTTGAAGGGCAATCCAAGTCAAGGGTTATGGTTTTCTGCAAGTTCAAACCTTACCATCAAGGGATTCTGTGATTCAGATTGGGCATGCCTAACACTAGGAAGTCAGTGACTGGATACTGTACTTTCCTTGGAGATTCATTGATTACATGGAAGAGTAAAAAGCAGAACACAGTTTCTAGATCATCTTCAGAGGCAGAATACAGAGCCTTAGCACAGCTCTCATGTGAGGTACAATGGCTCAAATCACTACTTCTCTTCTATGGGATTAATCATCCACAACCTATACAAATATTCTGTGACAATCAATCTGCTATTCACATAGCAGAAAACCCTGTCTTTCACGAACGGACAAAACATATAGAGGTTGACTGTCATGTTGTTCGTGAAAGATTGAAGGCAGGCTTACTTAAGCTATCCCATGTTGGAACTGAAGAACAACTCGCTGACCTTTTTACAAAAGGGTTATCTGCAGAAAGATTCAACTATTTATTGTCCAAGCTGGCAGTACATGATCTGTACTTGCCAGCTTGAGGGAGGGTGTGAAGCAGATGTGCACAATGGCTGCATTGGTTTGAGTTGCAATATGAAGAAGATGATGCAGTCATGGTGATCAGACAATACAACAGCAGCAGGAGAACACGAGGACCTTCAGTCAAGCTTCCTTTCACTTGACTTGAAGCTAAACGCTGCCGTATTTCCTTATGTAAATCGTAGATAGAATTTACTTCTCCCTTGCCACTTGGCACACTGTAAATGGTAGATTCATTAGTTAGTTTATTTTACCGTTGCTGTACAGTAAATACTGAACTCGGTATATATATGAAAGTCCCAACAGAGGAAAGGCATCTTTGCCAATTCCCCAAATATGGCTGTTGTTCTCAGCTCATTCTCTGAAACCCTAGTCATGGATTCAGCTAGGTTTAGATCTTTCTCATTGGATTGGTCGCGACGGCAGTGATACCGGCGGCGATAAACAGGCGACGACAACGGGAATTATGATGGGGGACCGCCTTCCTCTGAAGGTCCAAAGAAAGAAAGGAGTGAGAAAGAGGAAGGGAAGAGACGATGCTATTTTTTTCCTTTTAGTTTTTTAATTTCTTTAATTAATTTATTAGCTAATATCAGTCCCTCACTCCCACTCCAAAAATCATGATCCGACCAGCTGGTTTGAACCTATGATTTTTGAACCGGTCAGGAAAAAGTGACGGCATCGGTGCCGTAATGCCGTTGCTGCACCACAGAATTCCCCCAACAGGAAGAGGAAAGTAGACGGACGACTCTTATTGTTGTGAAAACCAATCAAAGAAAGATCTTCCAGAGTTGGCTGTTACTAGCTTAAGCAAACGAAAAAACAAACAGGTGGGCGAGAAAATTGGAGAACAATGTTTTTTCCCTGCGATGAAATCAATAAACACTGCTTCATCCTTTTCCATTTCCTCTGCCTCAAACAGAGTTGGTAATTTTGGTCATTGTCATAAATGGCCAAATGGATGGGATCGGTCGGAGAAGAGTAATGCTCTGTTACTCCATTTTTGCCGGCACGGTCGCCATCATCATAATCAGCGCTGCAGCGCAAGATTATCCAAACTGCAGTCGACAGTTCGAATGCGGCGACATCCGAATTGGCTACCCTTTCTCGGGGTCAAAACGCGCAGCCAACTGCGGCCTCCCGAAGTTGCGTCTCATCTGCGGTGCCATTGCCACTCCGATGATCGGCATCCTCGGCATACCTCACAAGATTCTCCGAATCGACGAACCGTCTCGGACACTTACCCTTCTGCGAGATGGCGACGGGGATATCCTCTGCTACCCTCCCCGAAACACCACCTTGGATCCGGGTTTCTTCGATTTCGCGCCGGACACTCAATTTGCTATGCTCTACTACTATTGCCCGCCGCCGGACGCCAGCGTTCGACTCCCGCCGAGCATCGGCCAATTCAATTGCAGCAGCGGTTCAGGGGGTTACTTTCTCCCCAGCGAGTACCTGCTTGGGGGATTCGAGGATTCCGTCAGGACTTGGTTGAGATCGTGCCGGATTATGGTTAGGATGCCCACAAATCGGACGGAACTGTGGATGCCGGCGAATCAGACGGAGCTGGGGATCCGGCGGCGGACGGCGGCGTCAGCGGACTGGTTGGCGACGGTGATGTACCGAGGTTTTGGGCTGCGGTGGACGGGGGATTACGAGGGCGCTTGCCGCAATTGTAAGGGATCCGGTGGGAAGTGCGGTTTCAACGAGACGGCGACGCGTCCTTTCGTTTGCTATTGCTCCGATCAAGCTTACGCCTTCAACTGTTTGTCTCTTACCAATGTTTCGCCGCCGGAAAAAGCGCTCGATAAAGCCGGTATGATCTTTCTCTTTTTCTTCTCGAATTGAATTTTATTGGACCGAATCGAATATATTTCAAATTCAGTATGGATTATCTTTCTCTTTTTCTTCTCGAATTGAATTTTATTGGACCGAATCGAATATATTTCAAATTCAGTTTAGATTCTTATTTTAAGCAATGATTATTCTTAAACTGTCATTCAATCATTTCATACCATTAAAATCACTTGTCGTTTCAGATATGATATCTGGAATTACCAATCCGACCGGACGATAGAGTACGACTTCTAATACATTGAATTTAAGTAAAAAGAAAAAAAAGTAGATCAATTTGTATTTAGACCAAACTGAATCGAATCGAATAAACCAAACATACTTTTGTCCGATTCTGATTGGTTCGGTCATGTCTCAATGATGCTGAAATTTTGCATTGAAATTCAAGAAGGGAAAAATAGGGTCCTGCTGAAAATCGTGCTCCCAATTGCCGCCTTCGTTACTCTGTCCGTTGCTGCCATCACTTTTTTTTACTGCATCCGAACCAGGGCATCGCAGAATCAGAATGGTAAAGCCTCATCTCCCCTTCCGAAACCACTAGAGTTCATCAAAATGCAGCGAGCCAAATCGGGACCATTCGGCGGCCAGGGCAATGTCGAGTCTCCTCCGAGCCTCCAAGCATTCACCTTCTCTGAAATCAAAACGGCAACCAACGACTTCTCTGATGATAACTTGCTCGGAGCTGGTGGGTTCGGCCCTGTCTACAAGGTCAGTAAAAAGCTGTCTTCCCCACAAACCTGACAGGTTTCCTGAAACATTAACTTTTTTTCTTCTTCTTTCTAGTGTGTGTTCCCTGGAGATGAGGAAATGGCGGTGAAGCGGCTTTCAAAATCGTCGACACAGGGACTCCTGGAGTTCACGAACGAGGTCTCGCTCACAGCGAGGCTTCAGCATGTGAACCTGGTCAGGGTTGTAGGTTTCTGCACCGAGAAAGATGAGAAGATGTTGGTCTATGAGTTCATGCCGAATAGAAGCTTGGACATTCACCTCTTTGGTAAAAGCTTCTTACTTTCTATGTACTTTGCTACTGTTAGTTAAGCTAGTTTGACTCAGGAATGAATGGATTTTCGTCTCTTATCTAAAATGGGGCAGATCCGGTGAAAAGATTGAGTTTGGATTTGAGCACTAGGATTCGGATCATTGAAGGAGTGACTCAAGGACTTTTGTACCTCCAGGAGTACTCCAACTTCACCATCATTCATAGAGACATTAAGGCGAGCAATGTTCTTTTGGATGATGGGATGAACCCGAAGATTTCGGATTTTGGGATGGCGAAACTATTCATGAAAGATTTGTATGAAGCTAACACCAATAAGATTGTCGGAACCTAGTAAGTCAATGAAGCATCTCTCTAGACACATAATCGTTATTGACAATAGTGACTAACGGGTCCTTCGAATCACCAAATAAAATGTTTATGTGATGTACAATGTTATATATGCAGCGGATATGTTCCTCCCGAATATGTGAAGAATGGGATATACTCGATAAAGTATGACGTCTACAGCTTCGGGGTTTTGCTTCTACAAATTATTAGCAGCAAAAGGACCCAAGATTACTATGGTCCAAATGAAGACATGCATCTCTTAGACCATGTAATGAATCCACTTATTCTCCCTTCCTATTTTATACAAAGTTTGAGATATTATTAATTAGTTCTTACTTGTGATTTCCTTATAGGCTTATGAATCATGGAGAAGAGGGGAATGTATGGAATTCTGTGACCCCTCATTGGATGATTCCTCTTCAGAATGTAAACTGATGACATGCTTGCAAGTGGCGTTGCTATGCGTTCAAGAAGATCCCAATGATAGACCAACAATGTTGGAAGTTGCATTCGCTCTGAGAACTGGAGCTCTTAAAATGGCTTCCCCGAAGAAACCTGCTTTTTCGGTGAGATTGGAACCCGTATCTCCCACGACTCCCAAATTCCGCCAAGAAATTTGGTCTTATAACGTTGCTGACATCTCTCAAGTCGAACCCCGATAACACAACAACACGTGCAAAGTGCGTCTCTGGTGAGGGTTCAAAAGAGTATTAATTAATTGTTCAAATGTATTATATAAACTTCAATATGCCAATCAGGAGTAGATACACTTTCTTCAAAGCATCTATACTTTACAATCATCACTAAGAAGAGTGCAAGTGAGGTGTTGCCGAAATTCTTTTGATGTTAAAAGACTTCGAACGAACTATGAGATAAGAACATCATCACCTTCATTCATTGAGAAAACGTACCAGTGATCACATATTGAGAAACCGTTCAAAGTTAAACACTTCAATCAAAACATGAGAAAATTACACGACCATTCATCATCCTAAAGAATCAAAACAACAATAGGCAGTGATAATTTGTTTCAACTCAACAGTTTGGCATCAAATTACCTACCCAATCCTCCACAACCTAAGCTTTAAAAACTTGGAAAAAGTAATGAACAAACCCCCTTAAAGAAGATTTCTTCTCGGGTTCGGTTTTGGTTTCACAATCATTAGTTAAATCTTGTATCGTTTTCATACGCTATGGCTAATGTACAAGGCTCATCAAATTTTTCCTTAACCAAGAAATTTTTTAGCTCTAACAATAATTTGTGTACAAAACGAGTTCATAAAACAATGGGACATTTCCACTTAATTTAATGTTATGAATGCATAACATGATCAAATTTCATGTACAATAATATTCTTCTAATTACTTAAGAACCATAACATTCAGTTAATCCACCTATCTAACACCAAAAGAATAACAATCTAAATCTCAACTTCAAAAGCAACACTTCAACTCTCATCCTTAATCAGAAAGTTTGCGCCCACATTATTCTCGCCAGCGGCGCCATGCTTCTTAGTCGCCCCGACCCAACGAACCAATGACAACCGACCACGGTTGTTCATCTTCGTTGTCGTTCTCTTGTCCCCGGGGAACAAGACCGACCTCCTCAAACACGCGTTGCCCATGTTGCTGCCATCATCATTACTACTACTACTACTAGAAGAAGAAGAATGTTTGAGGCTAGATGACCTCTTCAACTTGTGAAGAGCACAGTCGCAGAACCGATGGTACAACCTCCCCCTGCTTCTCCATGTTGAAAATCGAGATGCAAGCGTCGAACAATGAGAACGATTCAGGCATGATAGCACGCGTCCCACACCCCTATTTGGTCACTCCTCGATAGAAAGATTGAAGAATCGAATCGAACACTCGCGACGACAGACACAACTGCTCTCAAACAGTGCAAATAAAAACGGTTAGACCATGTAATGATTTCACTTATTCCCCTCTTTCTATTAAAAAACGTTTGAAAAATCTTTAAAATTCTTGTGATTTCATCATAGGCTTACAACTCGTGTAGAAGAAGGGAAGACGTGAAATTCTGTCAACTTTCATTTGATGAACCCTCTTCACAATGTACGATGATGACTTGTTTGCAAGTAGGGGTGGGCATTCGGTTGCGTTATGCGGTTAAATCGCTAATCGCATCGAAACTGCGCAGTTAGTAGTTAACCGCAAACCGAAAAATAGGGTATTTTGGGCCGCGGTTAGTAATGTTGCATGTTTTTCGGTTTAACTGCAACCGCAACCGCACAACATGTAACGACATTTTAACCGATTACTAACACGGTTACCTATGAATAATCGTAGGGGTGCTCAAACGATGTGGTTACTGGGTAACCGTTTTAACTGGTAGTATTTGGCTAATTTGGTTTGGTTAATTTGGATAATTGGTTTGATTTAGTTAAAAAAATTAGCTTGTTTGGTTCAGGTGGTTTGGTTTGGTTTCAGACAATCCTAACCAATAGAACCAAATTTACCACTTAAGTAATTATCCATATATCTAATATATTATATACACATACTTAATACATGACATAACCACTAAAGAGTAAAACATTCCTTCATTTACGCTCATCAACAATAAAGCTCAATCTTGTTCCTATATTGTATATTTGTATTTGTAGAGGGTAGACGATGATATGTGAATGCCCAAATTAGACAAAACTCATACAATGTATTAGATGAAAACTTGAAAGTAAGGTCTTTTTCGACCTATAATAATTGCTAAGAGACTAATAAGATATGTATATTATATACACATACTTAATTCAACTGATGCAGTATAGCATCCTTGGGCCTCATGGCCGAGTTGGGCTTGGTAATTGGGGATAAATTATTATTAATTATGGGGTTATGATGGTTATTTGGAATATTCGTATTAGTTTATTGTGTCTTGTTGAGAAAGTTATTAGTTACTTTGTTAGAGTGTGATAGGGTTATCAATTAGGGTTTTCTATGTTTTCCTATAAATATGTACTTTATGGTTCAGTTATGATTACGAGAAGAAGAATATTTCAGTTTATTGTTATGTTTCTCTAGGAGTAGACGTAATTTTGCTAGAGATTTCTGATGTAGGAAACTATAATGCATCATCAACCTATGATGAAAACTCATACAATATATTAACTCCAACTATATTTTTGTTAGGTGAATACTTCTATTGACTGTAAGATAATTGTATTAGTTGCATGTATTCTTGTAAGGGTTAACTATAACTTTTTGTTTGTTATGCTTTATTCCTCACATAAATTATGAATTAATGCCTTAATGGAAAATTTTCTATAATATGATGTTATATTGGTTAATCTGGTAAACTAATTAACCAAACTGATTAAACTTTAGTTTGGTTAATTTGGTTGTTGTATTAGTTTGGACGGTTTGGTTTTGATATTGTATTTCATGGTTAATAGAATTTTGGCTTGTTTGGTTTGTTAATTACCATGGTAACTATTTGAACATCCCTAGTTAATCGCAGTTAGTATGGTTAACCATGACACAGTGGCACAACCATAGACAAAAATGTCCCCAAACCATAAGAATGGTAACTAACACGGTTAACCGCGGTTAACTGTTAATTATACTTTGCGATTAGTGGTTAACCGTAAATCATTTGTGGTGCTGTCGCAATTAGCGTATATGGCTCCGTTGCGGTTGCGGTTAACCGGTGACACACTTGCGCGTTGAAGAAGATTTCAACATGTAAAGCGGTGGAAGTTGCATCTATCTACTGTGAAAATCAAAGCTCTTCGAATTGTTTCCCCCCAAAACGAAACCTGCATTTTCGGCAAGAAGAGAACCGGTATCTGCCACAGATTTTATATTCCAGCAAGAGACTTGGCCATATAATACAAATCGGAAGAGGAAAGTTCATGTTGGGTTGGTCCAACTCATATGGTGGTTGGATTAACCGGTTTGAGTTTTGGTTGGTTTCTAGAAGATCCTCTATTTTCAAAATAGAGAGTTATTGTCTACTAAAGTAAAAAGAGGTGACAACCTTTCATTTTTAGAGAGAGAATCAGAAAAGAGGAGAGATAAGGAAAAAGAGAGAAGAGAGAAAGAGCTGCTGTTTTTCGTCTCTGCAGCAGGGCAGCCTGTTCAAGTGAGCGTTCTGGAAGATTGAACCGTTGGATCGTCTTGAAATTTGGGCAGTGGGTTTGCAATTGTCTGGGCTTCATTCTGACTGGAGGAATCGTCATCCGGAGGTCTAGTGCGTCGGAAATCGCTGCTGGACAGAAGGTGTACGAATCTGTTTTTGAGTATCTCTCAACCTTTCTTTGTCTTGCTCTTGTTCTTGTTATCCACCATGTTGGTGAGAGCTATTGTGGTTGATTGTTGATCCAAGAAGGGTGTTCTTGAGGTGTTTGTAATCCTCTAGCTAGTCTAGAGAGGACTTGTAATCCCACCAAAGTCTAGTGGAGTTGTGGCTTGGACAAAGGTCCCGTGGTTTTTCCCGATTTGGGTTTTCCACGTAAAAATCGTGTGTCTTGTGCATTCTATTCTTGCTTGTGGTTGCTGCCCGGTTTCTCAACAGTGGTATCAGAGCATTAGATTGTTTGGGGGCTGTTTTTGGTGAATGGCAAGAATGGATGACTCAAGCGGAGCAATGATTAAATTGACATCATCCAACTACTCTATTTGGAAGCCACAGATGGAGGATATTCTGTTTTGCAAGGATCTCTATGGAAGAAGCAGAAATCGAAATTCCAACTTCAAGAACTCTCAGAATAGAAGTAACAGCCGAGGGAGATCAAAAGGGAGATCAAAATCATTGTCAAGACCAAGAGGAGAAATCACATGTTATCATTGCAACCAGCCCGGACACATGAAGAGAGACTGCAGAATCTTGAAACGGGAACAAGCTAGAGGAAAAGGTGTGGAAAACCGAGAAAAAGATGATACTACTGCTGCTGCCACAGATGGTGATGTGGTCATTGTTTGTGATGCCGGTTTTGTTAACCTTGCTTGTCAAGAGAGTACATGGGTTGTTGACTCAGGTGCCTCATTCCATGTGACCTCACGGGTTGATCTTTTCTCTTCCTACACAAACGGTAACTATGGTTGTGTGAGGATGGGAAATGATGGCGCATCAAAGATTGTTGGCATGGGTGATATTCATCTAGAGACCAACACGGGTTGCAAGCTAGTCTTGAAGGATGTGAGACATGTTCCTAACATGAGGCTGAATTTGATATCCACGGGAAAGCTTGATGATGATGGTTATACCAACTATTTTGGAGAAGGAAAATGGAAGCTCTCAAGAGGTTCTCTTGTGGTGGCTAAAGGCAAGAAGGAAAGTACGCTCTACATGACGAATGCAAAGCATAGCAAGGGAGGAATCAATGTTGATGAGAAAGATTCTTCCATTGAGCTTTGTCATAAGAGACTCGGTCATATGAGCGAGAAGGGGCTGCAAATATTGTCCAAGAAACAACTCTTGCCCGGAGCTAAAGGTACTCTTCTTAAAACTTGTGTTCATTGTTTAGCCGGAAAAACTCATAGAGTTGCATTTCATAGATTTCCACCTTCTAGAAGGAGTAAGGTACTTGATCTAATTCACACCGATGTTTGTTTTATGCGAGATAAAACTCTTGGTGGTGCAAGCTATTATGTTACCTTCATCGATGATCACTCAAGGAAGGTGTGGACATATGCTTTGAAAACGAAGGATCAAGTGCTACATGTTTTCAAGCAATTTCATGCTGAAGTGGAAAGGGAAACCGGCCTTAATTGAAGTGTGTAAGGGCTGATAACGGGGGAGAGTATAGAGGTCCATTCGAAAGCTACTGCAGATTGCACGGAATTAAACTGCAGAAAAGTGTACCCAAGACTCCACAACAAAACGGTGTCGCCGAGAGGATGAATAGAACAATTTGTGAGAGAATCAAGTGTATGCTCTCACTTGCCAAGTTACCTAAATCATTTTGGGGAGAAGCAATGAGGACAGCGGTTGATCTAATCAATCTCTCACCATCGGTTCCATTGGAGGGTGATGTGCCTCAACGAGTATGGACGGGAAAGGAAGTCTCATATGAACACTTGCGAGTGTTTGGTTGCAAAGCCTATGTTCATGTTCCAAAAGATGAGAGAGCAAAGCTTGATGACAAAGCAAAGCCATGTATATTCATGGGCTATGGGCGTGAAGAGTTTGGGTTCAGATTATGGGATCCAATTGCAAGGAAAATTGTTCGGAGCCGGGATGTGATTTTTCTTGAAGATGAGACAAGTGAAGACGTCGAAAGGGTTGAAAAGGAGAAAAATACAGCAGCTGGTCCGGTTAATTTGGAGCCTATATCTCCATCCCAAATGCATGAAAATGTTGAGGAAGTAGTGCATGATGAGCCCCAAGGTGCACTAGATCAAGAAGTGCAAGGAGAAGAGCAATTGGAGCAAGAAGAACAAGTTGAAGAAGAGCAACCTCTATCCGAACCAAGAAAGTCAACAAGAGATCGCAAAGCTTCCACTTGGTACTCCCCTCATGAGTACCTATTGTTGACTGACGGGGGAGAACCTGAATACTATCAAGAAGCCATGTCTCATGAAGACAAGGAGGAGTTGAACAAAGCAATGCAAGAAGAGATGAAGTCTTTGCAAGAGAATCACACCTATGATTTGGTGAAGCTACCCAAAGGAAAAAGATCACTTAAGAACAAGTGGGTCTACAAGTTAAAGACGGAGGAAACTAGTTCAAAGCCTCGGTTTAGGGCGCGACTAGTTGTGAAGGGTTTCAACCAAAAGAAAGGTGTTGACTTTGAAGAAATTTTCTCTCCCGTGGTGAAGATGTCTTCTATCCGAGTGGTGCTTGGGTTGGCTGCAAGTTTGGATTTAGAAGTTGAACAACTCGATGTGAAGACAGCGTTTCTTCATGGTGACTTAGAGGAAGAGATATACATGGATCAACCGGAAGGGTTCGAGGTTAAAGGCAAAGAAGATCTTGTATGCAGATTGAGAAAGAGCTTATATGGGTTGAAGCAAGCACCAAGGCAATGGTACAAGAAATTTGACTCATTCATGGTCAAAAACGGGTATGCAAGAACTACCTCCGATCATTGTGTGTTTGTGAAATACTTTGCTGAAAATGATTTCATCATTCTCTTGCTTTACGTGGATGATATGTTGATCATGGGTCGGAACGTTGGAGAGATTGATAGATTGAAAAAGGAGTTGAGTAAATCCTTCGCCATGAAGGACTTAGGACCGGCGAAACAAATTCTAGGGATGAGAATCTCTAGGGATCGAAGGAATGGAAAATTTTGGTTGTCTCAAGAAAGGTATATTGAAAGAGTTCTTGAGCGGTTTAAAATGAGCAAGGCTAAGGCGGTTAGTACTCCACTTGGAGGACATTTCAAGTTGAGTGTGAAGCATTGTCCTACAAGTGATGAAGAGAAAGAAGTAATGAAGAATGTGCCTTATGCATCAGTTGTTGGAAGCTTGATGTATGCCATGATTTGCACAAGGCCGGATCTTGCTAATGCCGTTGGGATTGTTAGTCGGTTTCTTTCCAATCCGGGGAAAGAACATTGGAGAGCAGTGAAGTGGATTCTTCGCTACTTGAGAGGTAATTCTAGAGTGTGTCTATGCTTTGGTAATGGCAAGACCATACTTGATGGATATGCCGATGCTAACATGGCAGGTGATGTGGACTCTAGAAAGTCGACTTCTGGTTACATGATGACTTTTGCAGGTGCTGCAGTTTCATGGCAATCTAAACTGCAAAAATGTGTTGCTTTATCAACAACAGAAGCCGAATACATAGCCGTGACAGAAGCTTGCAAAAAGATGTTATGGTTGAAGAAGTTTCTTCAAGAGTTGGGCATTAAGCAAGAGAGGTATGTGCTCTATTGTGATAGTCAAAGTGCAATTCATCTTTGCAAGAATCCAACTTTCCACTGAAGGTCGAAACACATAGATGTTCGATATCATTGGATTCGTGATGTTTTGGAAGAGAAGTTGTTGGAGCTCAACATAGTGCATACGGATGACAATGGTTCGGACATGATGACTAAGTCTCTACCAAGTGGAAAACTTATCTTCTGTCGAGATGAAGCAGGTTTGGTGCTACCCCCCATATGAGCCGGAGGGGGAGATTTGTTGGGTTGGTCCAACTCATATGGTGGTTGGATTAACCGGTTTGAGTTTTGGTTGGTTTCTAGAAGATCCTCTATTTTCAAAATAGAGAGTTATTGTCTACTAAAGTAAAAAGAGGTGACAACCTTTCATTTTTAGAGAGAGAATCAGAAAAGAGAAGAGATAAAGGAAAAAAGAGAGAAGAGAGAAAGAGCTGCTGTTTTTCGTCTCTGCAGTAGGGCAGCCTGTTCAAGTGAGCGTTCTGTAAGATTAAACCGTTGGATCGTCCTGAAATTTTGGCAGTGGGTTTGAAATTGTCTGGGCTTCATTCTGACCAGAGGGATCGTCATTCGGTGGTCTAGTTCGTCGGGAATCACTGCTGGACAGAAGGTGTACGAATCTGTTTTTGGGTATCTCTCAACCTTTCTTTGTCTTGCTCTTGTTCTTTTTATCCACCATGTTGGTGAGAGCTATTGTGGTTGATTGTTGATCCAAGAAGGGTGTTCTTGAGGTGTTTGTAATCATCTAGCTAGTCTAGAGAGGACTTGTAATCCCACCAAAGTCTAATGGAGTTGTGGCTTGGACAAAGATCCCGTGGTTTTTCCCGATTTGGGTTTTCCACGTAAAAATCGTGTGTCTTGTGCATTCTATTCTTGCTTGTGGTTGCTGCCCGGTTTCTCAACCGTTCACGACTCATATAATTTGGAAATCCAATCCAAGATATTCCTGAGTTGGCTGTCACTAGCTTAAGCAAACAAAACAACAAACAGGTGGGCAAGAAAATTGAAGAACAACGTTTTATCTTTGCTGCGATGAAGTCAATAAACAAAACTTCATCAATCCCATTTTCCTTGCCTCAATTGGTAATTTAGTCACATGGATAGGAAAGGTCGAAGAAGAAGAAGAAGAAGATGAAGAAGAGTAATGCTTTATTGCTCCATTTTTGCCGGCACCGTCGCCATCATCGTAATCAGCTCTGTAGCGCAAGATTATGCAAACTGCAGCTGCCAGTTTGAATGCGGCGAATTCAGAATTGGCTACCCTTTCTCGGGGGAAAAACGCCCCCCAGACTGCGGCCTCCCCAAGTTTGCATCTCGTCTGCAGCGCCGGCGTGTTTCCGATGATCGGCATCCTCGGCATACCCTACAAGATCCTCCGAATCGACCAACCGTCTCGGACCCTTACCGTTCTGCGAGACGGCGTAGATAACATCCTCTGCTTCCCTCCCCGAAACACCACCTTGGATGGAAATTTCTTCGAATTCGCGCCGGACACTCAATTTGCTCTGCTCTACTACGATTGCCCGCCGCCGGCTGCCGGACGTTCGACTCTCGGCAAGTATCGGCCATTTCAATGTTTGCGGTTCAGAGGATTACTTTCTGCCGAGCGGGGACCTGCTTGGCTGATTGAAGGATTCTATCAGTAGCTGGTTAGGATCGTGCCAGCAGGGCGGAGCTACACTAGCCCCCGAAAATTTTGAAAGTTACGTATAAAATGTATCACTACTTGGAAATTTCATACAAAATAAAGGAAATGCATACAATTATTTAGTGTGCAAAATGGAAACAGAAAACAAGACAGTTCCGTGGATGCAAACTTAATGATACATTGTTTAGATCAAGGGTTTGAAAGTTGAAACCCATTGCATGCAGCTGCTATGATTTTAACTTTTCAGTTTTAATAAGTTCTTTTTATTTCTATTAAATTCAATATGGTTTCAGTCTTTTAATTTCATAAGTTATCAACTTGTATATTTTGTTTTCTTAAATTCTTTACGATAAAATTATATCAATTAAGTTCTTCAAATTTAAATTTTAAAGAATACTCTTCGGGTAAATAATGAATAAAGAATTTTTTTATAAGATACTAGACAAGATGATGATTAAAAATATTGAAATGCACTATTAATTTATTACTTTCTTTCATTTATATTGTACCGTGATACAAAATTTTAGTTGATTTTGATCATCTAGAATTGATGTTATTATAATATTAAAACGAATTATTTATTTTCTTGTCTTTTTGTATGAACCATGTCTTCGTCCCCCAACTAAAAGATGAAAATACATTTGCTACACTTGCCATCGGAACGGGTCAAATCAATACTAATTTTAGAAGCATACAAACTAATGAATTCATAGAAACAACTTACGGATATGACATATTTACTTTTGTCTACATAAATAAACAACACTATAAATTTTATTTTGAGTAACTCTAATAATCTAAAAATGCAATGATAATAATATTAAAATAAATTTTCTTAATTTTTATCGTTTTTCGAAGTAACATAATAAAATATTCCAGCCCCCCGAACACTGAATCCTAGCTCCGCCCCTGCGTGCCAGAATCTAGTTAGGATTCTGGCGAATCGGATATAGCTGGGGGAGCTTGCCGCCGCCACCAACGTCGGCGTATAGGTTGGTGGCGATGGCTTACCTAGGTTTTGGGGTTCGGTGGACGGGAAAATTCGACAATGCTTGCGGCAATTGTATGCAATCCGGTGGGGAGTGCGGTTCCAACGAGACCGCGTCGCGTTTGTTCTTGCTATTGCTCTGATCAAGCTTACGTCTCCGACTGTTTGTCTTCGCCGCCGGCAAAACCGCTCCATGAAGCCTGTCAAAAAAAAAAAAACAAGTTTAATCACTGGATTTACTAAAATGTGTCATGTTTAGTTACTGAAAAAAATTAATATCAATAATGATCACTAAGTTTAGTAAAACATGTAATGTTTGGACTCCAACTCTGTTAGTGGAGTCCGTTAAGTGCTGACGTGGCATACAGAATCACCTAGTCAACCAAATTTAACCCAACAAAAATAAACCGTACACGCCGCGTCATTAAAACCGACACATCATTATAAACAAACCCAACCCTTTCTCTTCTTCTCTATTTGACCCGAACCGAACCTTCTTCCTCTTTCCTCCCACCTCTGCTTTCCCAAATCCTCCACCGCCACTTCCTTCTCCTTCCTCCCGCAAACCTTATCCCATCTACATCGCCAAAACCTTTCTCATCTCCGCACCGACCACCAATTGATTGCATCCCTTTATTTCCCCTTGCAGCTCATCACCGTGAGTCACACAAAGATAAAGAATCCTCCCAAATGCCTACACAATAGAGAAACAAAAAGAAAATTCCACAAAATCAAACTTCAACCCAGAGACCTCGCCCATGAAGTAAATCGATCATCGCACCTACGGTCCAAAACCCTACCATCTCTCCAATCTTTCACCAATCGGAAAATGGAAATCTCAAGATCAAGCATCGCGGCGTTGTCTTTCAACACCTGTGACAGGTCCTTGAATTTAACCAGCCTCACCCAAACCAGCCTCAACTTCATCACCAAAATCGTTGCATTCCAGTTCCGTTGCGACTTCGCTAGGCTTGACTTCTCAGCCTCCGCCATCAGGTCTCCCTTCGCACAGTACGGACAACTTGTGAGATTTTTTCAGCAGCCCATTCCTCCACTTTGAGAACGTCACATGTTTGCTCGCCGGATTCTCGATCCTCTTTAGTTCCACTTTCCCCCTCACCATCTTTGATCCCAGCTGAGGCACTGCAACAAAGGAGGGGCTGCAGGAAAGGAGGAGAGCCGACCACCGGTGGCGACTTCCGTTAGAGGGCAGAAACCAATGGGGGCTTCCACATGGCAGCTGGTTTGAGATCTATATATTGTCTTCCACAATTGAATCGGGGAACCCTAAAGAGAGAGGTTGAGGAGAGGGTCGGTCTTTGTTTGTATGAATCGCTATTTGCCGCCCCGTCGTTTTACTATTTGCCGCCCATAGTTAGAAAAAAAAAGACGACTTTGCCCCTGCCCTATTTTAAAACCCTAACCCTATCTATACACGCCACCCCCTCCCACCCCCCTGCGCAAGCCAACTTCCTCCCCCAACCTCCTGCCGACCCCGCCACCGCCTCCTGCCGCCTCTGCCGACCGCCACCAGGCCGGAGCCGCCGCCGAGGACCCTTCCTCCTCCCTCCTGCCAACCTCCCGCCGCCAACCGAGCAGAAGAGGTGCCACAGCAGCCGCCACCGACCGAGCAGAAACCGCCGCCGAAGAGGTGCCACAGCAGCCGCCGACGACCGAGCAGGTAACTTTTTTTTTATTTTATTGCTCGCCGCTGTCCGACACGCCGGAGCGGACGCGGTCCGCCAGGCCGGAGCGGACCCCGTCCGCCCGGTCTGGTCGGACCACGCCAGCCCAGTCTGGTAGGACCCAGCCCGGTCTGGTCGGACCCCGCCCGCCCCGTCTGGTCGGACCGGTCTGATTGGGTTTCTGATTCGATTTGAATGGTTCGTTTTAAAAAAATATGTTTTACATTTATTTTAAATACAATTGTTAGTATATTAATTAGTTTAATATTGATAGTTGATTAATTAGTATATAATTGTTAATTAATTTTATAATGTGTTAGTTTATTAATTGGGTAAGTTGAAATAATTAGTATATAATTGTTAATTAATTATATAATGTGTTAGTTTATTAATTGGGTAAGTTGATATAATTATTTGAATAACTATCTATCGTATTTAGTAAAGTAACTATCTAGTTAAATTAATTAGATAACCAAGTTGTATGTATCATAATTAGTAATTGATAAATTATGACTATGAAGAAATTGCTAATCTAATAATTTATTATAATAGATTAATTGATAATTAATGAATATGCTAATAGATAAAATATCTAAATAATTATTGGATTAAATAATTATTGTAAATAATTGTTAATTTTAAATAATTATCTATGATGTTTTAGTTAAATTATTGAGTAAGTTGAAATAAATATTTAAATAACTACCTATAGTATTAAGTAAAATAACTATCTAGTTAAATTAATTAGATAACCAAATTGTATGTATCATAATTACTCTATGAAACAACAAGTAATTGCTCAACAAATAATTTATTATAAGATATTAATAAAAAATTATTGACTATGTTTAGAGATGGTGTCACCTGACAATTCTGGAGGATCACGTAGTTCTGGGGGAGCTGGAAAGATATTGAGAAGATTCCTTGGGCGCAACATTAGCGCTAGTGCGAGAAATAGGGGCCCAAATGATAGAGATGAGCCACAACCACAACCACAGCCACAGGTGACACCGATGAGATTTAGGGCAGACGGTTTCCCTCAGTTTGATTTTCAGTTGCCTAGTATGGCTGGTAGTGGAGCTGGTCCCAGTATTGATCATCATACTTCACCGTTTGAGCCTTCAGACGAGATTGACGACGAGTCGGAGGAGTATGAGTCGGATGCTGTTGAGTATCGGATTCCACGAGTCAGTCCGATCAGAGACAGAGGTGCCCCCAGCGGATCGTCACATGTCGTTACTGGGGTTCATGCTGTTACTGGGATCTATAGAGACCATGCGGGGCGTTTCTATAGAGCTCCAAAGCCTGGTGAGGGCCAGAGTGGTACTGCTGACGTGGGAGAGGCCTAGGAGCCTAGAGGACCGTGTCCTGGAGGGCCGAGCGACCCGAGTTTGCTCCGTAGCTTTCTTGGGCATGTTGCTCACCGTCTGTACACCGGAGTAGGGATGGCAACAAAACCCGAACCCACGGGTACCCACCCGACCCAACCCGGTCAACGCTGGTAAAATCCGTGTTGACGGGTTTTGGGCCGGGTTTGGGTTTAAACCCGTTCACTATTCACCGGGTTGGGTTGGGTTTGGGTTTAGGTAAACCCGGCCCATGGGTACCCGCCCACACCCATATAATTAATTTTCTCGGCATATTTAATAATCTAAACAACTAATCTTATTTATGTTTGTGGAGACATGTCTAATTTTTTCTTTCTAGTTGTGTAGAATGAAGTTGATGTTATCGAGTGGGGAGTGAAAAACTTAATTGAAAGGAAGAAGCTTTCAATTAATCATGTTATTTATGAATAATTTGTGATTTGCTTTAATTTTATTGAATTTTCTAGATTGGTGTTGAACAATTTGCATAGTTAATTTCTGATTTGCTTGAATTTTCAAGAATTTTCTAGATGGTGTTTTATATATGGATAATTTGTATTGAAAGATTAATATTTGACTTTAATTTTGATAGGAACTTGTTATTGTAAATTTTTTACGACAAAAACCCGTGGGTACCCATGAACCCGCGGATACCCAGCGGGTTGGGTTGGATTTGAGTTTTTCAAACCCAGTGGGTTTTACCCCGGGTTTTTTTCACGGATAAACCCATGGGTTTGGGTTTGGCAAAACCCGACCCAACCAGACCCATTGTCATCCCTGCACGGGAGAGGCTGATAGAGGGGTGATCACTTGCTACGACAGGAGTTCGACCCTTTGCCACGTTCTCAGCGGTTATGAAATAGCAGATGATAACGCTAGGACTACCGTAGAGACATCGGGCCTTGCTCACCTCGTTGATATCACCTTCCAGAGCGAGTTGGACCCTGCTCTCATCTCGGCATTTGTGGAGAGGTGGCAGCCGGATACCAACACCTTCCACATGCCGTTTGGAGAGATGACGATCCTCCTTCACGACGTGGCACACATTCTTGGCCTTGCGGTTGATGGAGAGGCGATGGTAGTGGATCAGAGGCAGTTGGAGAAGTGTGCACTGGAGACTGACATCCGAGCACTACTAGGATTAGATCGTGACGAGGATGAGTACGGGGCGCAGGTTGGCGAGGTTGCTAGTCTGTCTAGGTGGTACAGAGGATTTAGTTTGTTGGGTGTGGGAGCTTTGACTCATTTGCAGCAGTCTGGTCCGCCAGCTAGAGAGGCTCAGTGTTACCTTCTTTTGCTGCTTGGGTCCACACTGTTTGTAGATAAGAGTAAAGACCGCGTTTCTGCTGTTGTCAACTTATTTGTGAAGAGGCCGGATATGCTAGGAGAGTACGCGTGGGGGGAAGGAGCACTTGCTTCCTACTTTGAGACCTAGTCGGTTGGAGCCACGAGAGCTGGAGCGGGGGCAGGCAGGAGCATTCAGGTGGCGCGGTACAGCACCCCGGTCGAGTAAGAAGAGGGATGCACATATGCTGGCTTATTATCGGCAGGCGATTGTTAGTTTGACCCCTCAGTCAGTTTGTTGGACCCCGTATGGTCAGCGTCCTCATCTGACGGCGAGACGTACCTTGTATCAGGGCCTGCTCAGATTTGTAGAGATAGTAGAATATTATGATCCTACTAGGTGCCTCCGACAGTTAGGCTACGTGCAGAGTGTACCGTATCGCCCGGAGCGTCCGCTTGTTGTGCGTTGACCTGCTTCCACGCTTGGATACTCTCTTAGCTACCAGTCTGTTAATGATTCGTATTGGAACACCTTGGGGGCGCATAGTGTGCATCTGGACCTTTATTCTACTCCGATACGACGTAGGCCATGGGAGGTTGCTGAGGATTACATGGGTTGGTATATTAGGCACTCGCACCCACTTATACTGAGTGACGGCCGACCTGTTCACGACATCTCCGATGCTGATACGGTTAGTACAATCATATTTGAAATTATTTGTATTAAGTTAAAAAAATGTTTTGATTGTAACTAACATGTATTTAAATTGTATGGTTTTTGTTTACAGTTGTCACGCGAGATGTGGATTGAGATATCTCTCGTGATGGATGCTGCACAGGGTAGTAGGGAGGAGTGGATGGCTAGCGCCAACAAGTACTACGACTTATGTCATGGAGTTGGGAACATGTGGCCCGAGTTTAGGAGGAAGTCGGGTTTTCTACCACCTCCACAGTAGTTGTATGATTATTATGTCATATGTATGAGTGTTATTTGTTGTTTTTAGACGAGTTGACTTATGTGTTCTACTACGACTTATGTTATGTGGTGTTCAGTTGCTTATTTGTTGTTTTGGGACTATGACTTATGTTATTTGTTGTATCTGATTATGACTTATGTGGTTTATGTTGTACTTCGGATGTTTTTATTATATCATGCTTCCATGTGACGTAAACAAACTTCATTACAATTTATTTAAATTGAAGACGTTCATTACAATTTATTTATGAGTCGGACGAGTACAAATTTATTTCTTTGGAACCCTCTTTTTGCGTGATGGAAAGCTATGCGTCGCACCCCCAAGATCGAACCACATTTGACTAAACGGCGCGAAATATGTCTCCCATCCATCCACGCTTTCTTGGTGACCGCCTGGCCACATGCCATGTAGAGGGGGCATCAGTATCTTGTCCGCCGGGAAAGAGAGGTTGATACAATGATCCTGGACGAAATGCAGAACAATGACTCCTCTGGGGTGGGTTTCCCCATATATGTTGTCCACTGGCAGAATGGTACAGTTGTACGATTGTGGTACTGGGTAGAGGTAAGAGTTGTACATGACAACAGCCAAATTAAATAGTGTGGCAAATACGAATAGATCCACACCCATCATCCAATGATGTTGAGTCGTTGGTGCTGTAGTAGCGATGTCAATGCGTCTGATTGCTTCATTGATCGCCTCACCAAAGATGGGTGCGTATCGCCAATCGTGCTCACGCATTTCTTCAACAAGTCTTCGCCTCACCTCTGGGAACCCTTCTTGATTACCATATAGTGCAAAACTAAGTGCACGAAACCCACATTGACCGTCTGGCACCGGGTCGTGGATGGCAATGACAAGCGGTCGAATGAAGACAGGATGCAGTTCCATGTGTGCGTAATCAGAATGGGTGCTGCTGGTTCCAGGGATATCTGTGAAGGAAATAGATAATCAGCACAAATTCGACGTAAACTATTAATATAAATAACTACACTTATGAAAAAATTAAATTACCTGTGTCAGGACTGTTGTATTTGTTTTTTTCTTCGGGATCATCACACTCCTCCGCTGCATGGTCGTCTGACGGGTACTCGTCTGTCGGAGTCCCCGTGGACTTGGTACTGGTGTACTTTGTAGACCCCGACGTTGTGCTTCCCGACTTCTTTTTCATATCTTTCTTCTTCCCTTGCAATATCTTTTCCCACCACCCTTTAGTTCTTCCAGTTGATTTTTTGGCTGGGCGTCCCTTTCGTGATTCGTTCACTTCTGGCTCGTGAATATTGTCTTCCGCCGGGTGGAGACCGCGAAACACGTTCTTTGCTGCTTTTTTTGTTGCCTCTGGTCCTTTACGTACAGCCTCATCAACCAACTCCTGAAGGTGACATTTAGCCTCCTCCTCCTGGGGAACGTACTCCTAAGCATTGGGTAGATACTCGTATGACAGTGTCCGCCAATATATATGAATATTACCAGGGTATATCTCTATGTCTCGTGCTCTGCCATCCATAACTTGACATCCACACCTCAAGCCGTGTGTCACAGAGAAATGACATGCACATCATTAGTTCTCTTTTTTTTTTTTCCAAGCGGGCAGCCAATTCTTCTTCAGCCTCCTTCATTAATATAATTGCCTGCATGCTGACCTTCCTTCTCAAGTATGTGAATGGTGTACCACCGGATGCTGAAAGGGTTTTCTGTCTAGAGTTTTCCAACATCATCCTAACCTCCCCGAGTTGGTTAGTAATGTAGCAGTGGTTTCCTTTCCATACAGTGTCCATAGATCCCCGGGAGTTGTGGAGGAAAGTTTTCAAAGCGGAATGTGACGAATCAACCCTGTTTGTGCTCGTATTTCCTAGATGAAACACATTTTTTGTATGACAAACATCTCACTTTTCTCGATGTTGCCACCACACTCCCTGTATGTATTGCAACAGACGTGGTTCGTAATTGCCCCATCTTGTCCTAAAGCGGCCAAACGCAGCCAACATACCTTGCTCTGACCAAGAATAAAGCATAGGACACCAATATTGATCATACGCCTCGTTGACCAAATCCATCCTGTCCTTCCCAAATATTTCCAAACACTTCTTCTGCACATTGGTGTTGATGTGCCAAACACATAGCAAATGCGGGGTGCAGGGGAAGACCACAGGAACCGTAGCAAGTAGTCCACCTTCGTGGTCGGTGACGATGACAGTGGGCACGTGTGGATGGAGAAATTGTTGCATGCACTGCAACAGCCACAGATACGACTCTTTTGTCTCATCCTTCATGAGAGCACAACAGATGTTGAAATTCTTCCCAACTGGAGTAGCACCTACGACCTCCACCCACGGCCATTTATATGCATAGGTCTTATACGTTGAGTCGATCAGAATCACGTACGGCCAAGCCTTCAACATCTGGATGGAAGTTGGATGGGCAAAAAAAAGATGTGTCAGCACGTCGTTATCGTCCTTCATAACCTCTGTATGATAATTCTCACGTTCAGCTGCTAGCAACGAATACTGCACTGCATTCATCTCGCCCATCTCGTCTTTCCTAGACTTGGACCCGAGGTTATACATCTGCCTTTGGGTGTGATGCCCTTTGTACCCCAGCATCTCTCATCTGCCTCAGAGATTCTTTATCCTCCTGACTCAATTGATTCATTTGACTGTGGCCCTCGGGATAAAGCATCTTCTCATGAGGCGGCTCTCCAAATTGTCGACTCAGGGACTC